AATGAATATGAAAATGGAATTTCCAACTTAATCGAATCATACAATTTTAAAAAAACTCATTGAAAAAAACTTTTCATTTTTTTATAAGTTTTTGTAAAAAGTTTTATCTAAACGCTATAGACGAATATAATAAAAATTCCTTAGAGGTTAGGTCAGTTTTTTTCTTTTGCTTTCTCCCGCCTTTGCATTTCCATTTTCTTTATATTTTTTTTAGAATTTTGCAAAAGTTTTATAAAATGGAAACATTGGCAGGCCATTGAATATAAACACAATTTTGCCTTTAGTTTTTTCTCTTTTTTTTTAATATGTAAATTTTTTCATTAGTTTTATTGTAGGTTTATGACGGCTTAATACACATTCATACCGGTAAATACATACTTTTCTTCTTATGAAAATGAAAATCGCATTAAAAGAAAATATTCAAATGAAACAAATGTTTTCAAAAATTTATTCGAAATTAAATTCTTTTTCTCGAAATGAAATAACTGTCGAAAGCATTTATTTTTCTTTTATTAAAAACTTTGTTATAGTGGACATATTCCCAAAGAGAAAAGTTTTTGAAAAGGATACTTTTTTTTTTTTAGATTTCAATTGGAGAGAAAAAAATATTTCTCTTGCTATTAATTTGAAATTATAATATTTTCTCACAAATTCAGGATTCTTTTTTTTTTAGAAACACCAGATTTTAAATTTCAAATGGAATGGAAATGATGTCATTTTGGATGCACTGTTGAATTATTGTAAGAATAAAATTTATGGTTTGTAATGAATAATGAATGCTCCCAACATGTATACAAAATGTGAACATTTATATTTTTCCCATTTCGTGTACATGTTTCCCATTCCGTGAAATAGAATCCGTGAATTTTAACAGATTTTAAGGACTGGAGAAGGGTTGCAACTGTTTGGTAATTTCGCACTGAAATTGGTTTGTCGTTTAGAAGCATTGTTTCGATTTCTCTATATTGGTTCCTCTTTTTTCTGTCTTGTCATTTGTCCCAAGTTTCGCTACAAACAGTAAACATTAACTCTAACTCTACAAATGTAGAGTTAGAGTTAATGGTACTCGTACGAATGAATGATTTTAAGAGTTGTATGATGATTGCCACATCATATAAACTTGTGCCATATCAAAAATTTTTACCGAAAATAATGACCGTATTTTTATCTTTTTTTCGCAAAATTTCAATACTGTAGCTACAATTGTTTCTACAATACGGCTAAAAAACTTTTGAAGTTATAAGGCAACTACCGCAAGGATTTAAACAATTTCATAGAATTTTATTAAACATAACGGCCCTTATAGTTGATTTACATAATATATTTCAATAATTTTTTAGACAAACTTAATTATCTTCCGGAATTGAAATAGTGTTCTTGTAATTACTATAATAAATCAGTTGTGAAAATTTGTTGAATTAAACTTGTAAGTTTTTGAAATATCGCTGGAACGGACAGGTGGACATACATTAATACGGATATAAACATGATAACAATATATTGGGACTGAAAACCCGCAAAGTTACAGCTTTTATTTCGATTCCTATTTCTTGATTTAGTGCGATTTTAACCTCGAGAACCAAATTTTGAATAATGGAAAGCCTGCCACATAAAAGAAGAAAATTGGAATACAATTTTCGTCTCTTCCTTTTAAGTTGATTATTTTGTTTCTAAGCTTATAATTGTTACTAAATGAATTGTAAATGCTTATAATTTTACGTTTAAAAAAAAATTATTTTTTTTATTTTTGAAAGCCAACGATGATATTGTTCCACCGGAAAAGGTGTAATGTTGTTGAAATAGTAGACCGATGTTGTCGAAACATTGGACGGATAAAAGTTTATAAGCATTTGATAGAAATTAAACAGAGTTAATAATGCTTCAGATTTTCACAGAGCAAGATTACTTCATTTATGTTAGTGCGTAAGCTGTCACCTAATTTTTCCAAAATTATAAGTCAAGAACGTTATTTTCACATTATTTATTTATACTACTAATAATACGAGTAGTTAGTAGAATTCCATTAATAATATTGAATATTATCAAATAGAATATTCAAATCCGTCCAGACACAATTTTGTTAATAAAGAGGAAGATTATGGTAAGCAAGTTGCTTGCACAAATATCATAAATCTCTACAATTATTCCAAAATTTCTGGATATTCGATTTAGTGAATAAAAAACGATAATATTAGTCGCCAAATAATTTTAGCATATTCCTAGATTTTCTCGCATTTGAAATAGTTTTAAATTTCATATGTTCCAAAACAAATTTTGCATAAAAAAAATAAAATTTCGCAAAATGACCTGCAAACTTTAACTACTAATTCTCACAAATCTTTATTAATTGATTTGAAAACTTTTCGAAATTATAATTAGCTACATATCCAAAATATTTAATGGATTTTCAACATACCGACGTTACGTACAAATAATTTTTATAAGAATAATTTTCATCTTATAATAAAAATATTCCTCCCATTTTAATTAAAATTCTTCTATAGATTAATCTTTTGAACTTTATATTGAATACAAAATTTTTCATCATCTTATACACAAGTGCATAAAAGATTTCATAAACTTGGTAAAATTTTTTAAACGTTCTTAAAATTTGTTAAAATTCAATTTGTTTCCTGATAAAATATAGCCTTAAATCAATTCTTCTTTAAAAAGCTGGAAGCGTCAATCAAGCCATAAATTATAATCTTGAAAATTATTTCATCACATCCTTCTTAAATATGGAACATCCAGCTTATTAACAAGACAATTTCTATTATGACACAATTTCCTTTTCCTCATTTTTATCCTTCTTCAAATCATAAAGACTCATAATTAATAGTTATAAAACTTTCAAAAGATGCATCATATTATAAGTTTTAGTAAATATTTTTTAAATTTTGAAAATAAAAAACTATCTTTAAAAGTTTATAATATTTTTATAATTATATAGAAAAAGACGGGCCTGTTATGGTATTCGGATTTTGTTTATAACGAAATTGCTTCCAAAGATGATTAGTTGTTTCCAAAAATTTAAAAAAAAAAATTGCTCGGTAGTTTCACTCTGTCCGTCCGTCCGTGGACATGTTTACTAAAGCTGACATTTTATATGTACACAGATCTTTACTAGAAACTTATTTCCGTAGAACAAAATTTTTATCTATTTCACCCCCTATAAAAATTATACCCCCCCAAAACCATAAAAATTGCCTTTTTTAACTATTTGTTGCAATGGAACCATAAACATTTTTCGAATTTTTCAAACGCAAAAAGGCAGTGGTTTGGTTCTCCTATCGTGACATACTATAATTAAACTTTAAAAAAACAAAATGGCCGTTCAAATTTACCGTTATCTAAAATCCATTTTTTCAAAATTTTTGATGTTGTTTTTCTTCTAACATAGACCCCAGGTTATAGGAGCCTGAAATTTTAGCAGCTTTTAGCAGAAGAAAATTTTTTCGATCTCCACCCCCTCTCAAGTTATCGCCTCTTGAAGTTTGTAAAATTAGAATTTTTGACCTTTATATTTCCGAAACCGCAAGCTTTTTCAGATTTTTATAAACGCAAAAAGCTAACGGTAAATTCTATGACATTAAAAAATATAATTATTTTTCCTAACTCACGCAATTAACCCTTAAAATCGAGCATTATGTTAAGCCCTCTTTAAATTAATTTTTGCTTTATTTCAAAGATTGCATAAACCGTTCATCCTAAATATATGCATGAAAATATTTTTAATAGTGTGGTAGATATACATAGACTGTATTTAAAAACAGTATTTTCACTAATTGTTGAAGGAAAAAGTGCTACAATACAAACCATTTGACCCAACTTTATTATTGAAAATTTTCATTTCAGGGGGATTTTGTTTGAAGTTTCCAACATCAATCACTTCACTGATAACGGAACGAAGTGAGTGATTCTGAAATTCTTGAAATTGAAAGTGAACTAGAACGCTTAACGTGGCAAAAGTGAATATCAATTAATCTTATTAATATTAAAATAAGCGTAAGCAATCCATGACCGAAATTTTCTCTATAGGTAAAAGTTGCACTACACTTTATGACCTACCTGTATGCTTATCTACCGCAATAAAATTAATACCAAACGCAATATACCCTGAAATGCATTAAGGCTGCTGGAATGCGTTGAAGCTCAAAAGTACAGCAAAAACTTTAACAATGAAAAGCCTTTGATCACAAGTTCCGTTCGTATCGAAAATCAAAAATATATTAATTATTTTTTTAAAACTGATGCCCCTAAAAATTATCCTAAGATTGTGTGATCCAATGTGAATTTCCTTTCATTTCTTTTTCATTAAATTTTGCACCGAATTCCTTTCTTTCTTTCTTCTTAATAGCTGTCTACAACTTTTGTTCACAAACATATATCTGCTCTAAAGAATTATATATGTACATAATACGTTCTGCACTATCTGCGATTTTGTACAATATTTTCATGAAGTTGTCTCTCACAACACGAATACATATACTAAATAATAAGTTTATACAATAATGCTTTATAAAGTAGCAAAAATTAAAAATATATAATAAAATAATTTAACGTTTCTTTAATTCCATGATCCTTATAATAGATTAGAATCAGAGGAGTGTAGAGAAAGTAAAAGTCTATTCCATGTACATACATGCATATATAAAAATATGAAAAACATACAAGATGTTGGGAATGAGCGGAATTTTCTTGGTATTTGGTTTCGCCCCCACTTTCTAACAATAAACAAAATTGTTCAAATTTATAAAAATTGGGCAATGTAAAACAAATCTGTAGCCAATATAGAGAGGATTGTGCGTTTTTCTTAAATTATGGCACCCTCGCTAACATCGTTTTTATAAAAATAGTGTTGTTTATAGCTACCCAATTTAAAGAAGTAAGTCGTTTGTCTTCTGTACCTATTGGCCATAATATTCAAAAATAATTTATTTTTGATATTTTACTGGCTAATAATTTCATAAATTTTTCTATTGTTTTTGAACAATTTTTACCTTGCAAGCAGTGAGGTTAATTCCTCTCTATCCATTTTTTGGCCATGACTTTCATTATTTTCCATTACACGTTGAACTTCCAAGTCCAATGCACGCTGTTCTCTATCACATTCTGCTTCACTAAATTCTCTGGAATCAGTAAAACCAGATGGAGGGCGAAATCCGAGACCGGCACCACCACTTCCACCATTAGTTGATGCTGTTTCCAAATTAACCTCACTGTCCAAACTAATAAAAATTAAAGTAAAAATGAAAATTTTTAGAATGAAAAAAAAATAAAAATGTAAACAAAACATAATAATAAATAAAGAAAACAATTTAAATAACCGTTAGAGTGTTCCAAACGGTTATTTTTGTATATATATACATACACACACAAAAGAAAATCAATAAAATAATATTCAATTGAAAATTGCAATGGTGAATATCATCATTGTAGTTCGATGGTACATAAATAATATTTTTTGTGTACAGCATAGTAAAATGAAAGCAGCATGGTGACGTTATTGAGCCATGAAGAAATAACAATGCCAATCGCCAGATGGAGCACAAAAAAATTATGAAATATGAAAAAGAAGAAAAGAAAAAAGAAACTTATTGTGATTATGAAAAATCAAAAGAAGAATAAAAAAATGACAATATAACGGTGCACACAGAAAGAGAATCAAAGAAAAAAAACACATAAAAATAGAAAAAATGATGATTTAAAACTTGAAAAATTTACTATACCAACAATTAAGTATGTATGTGTGTGTGTGTACATAGTAAGGATGTGTAAAAATAAGTTGACATTTGTAATACCATTAACTACCGTTTACATCAAAGGTCCCTAAAAGTGTACAAGGGTATATATAGGGGCTGAAAGAGCCAAAACACAAATAAAATAGAAAACAATATAAAACAGAAAATGCATCAATTTAATAAAGAAAAGAAAAGTTATTTTCTATACACACATATAAAAGAACACATTATACACATACCTAGGTAAATTCTCGCATAACTGACTATACACATTGACAAACATATTTTGTTTTAGATAACAATAAAAATAGAAATTTTATGATCATTTAGGCATCATAACGAAGAAATATTGTTAAAGCATTTTCATGTTCAAAACAAGAACACTATATATGTACCACATAAATACATAAAAATGTTGGTAACAATAAAAATAAAAAAACAACGGCAATGAAGACAATAACACATAAAATATACGCAAACGCGATTGCCAATAATATAAAATACTACATCCGACTTTAAAAGATTGAAAAGCGCTACAAAGGAGTGAAGTGCAGTATTTAGAAAATAAAATTTATGTTATTAAAATAGAGAATAGAATTTTTTTCTTAAAAAGTCAGGTTACTTTAGGCAAATACGTAAATCCAAATGAATTTAAATTGAGCTAAAAAATTTAATCGCTGAATAATTTAATTTGAATTCACAGCTACTCTTCAACTAATCAAGTCAGGAATTGTGAACTATACATAAAAAGTCAGAACTAAAATTTGTACCAACTCCTTACTTTTAAATTTCTGTAAAATTCTTACTTCTTATAAAACGAAATAATTTTTTAATATACTAGAAAGTCAAACGGAACAACAATCGCGATGGAAGAAAAAAAACAAAATTGTTTTTTCCTTATGTTCATTTTTCGTTTTTTATCAATAATCCTTTTAAAATTCTTTCAAACATAAGGACATCATTTCATTTATCGTACAAAGCTTCCGGATTATTATGTTAGATGAAATTATTGCGCTTACAATTCAACCTATAGAAAAAAATATTAAAATATGTGAGTGAAAAAGAAGACACCATAATTCAAAATAAAAGTGAGTAAAAAAAAAATTTATTTGTAGCAATTTATGTTTGTTGTTTTCTGGTTTTGTTATGTGTTTTTTTGTTAACTCTGATAAACTACACCCATTTCTATTTAAAAAAAAAAAATAAATATTATTCGGTCGAATGGAAAGGAAAATGTACACATGTGACTTTTCTAAAATGATTGCAAAAAAATTATCCTTTTTTAAAATTTATTTACTATATCGCAATATTATGCATATGTACACATGTAGTGATTTTCTATTTAATATTTTTTTTAAACCCGGAAATCAACCATTCGACTCAGAACTCGAATGAGAACGAGGGTGTTACCAAAACCGTCGAAAACAATTTTGTTTTAAAAATGATTACCTTAATTCCAAATTAAAAAGTGTTATCTACCAGTTTTATGTTTCGTAATTTTTTGTAGTTACATGTACCACACTGTTACAACATAACACTTTTGCAATGATGCTACATAACTTGAAAATCGTTCAACTTAATATTTCAAATCTAAATCTAAAACAGCGTGTCAAAATGTACTAAGCCTGAAAATAAAAATTAATAAGAAACCCAGAAACGGAATTTTGACACGTATGACATTCATATGACATTCTCGTACGAACGAATGTTTGAAGAGAAGGTATTATAAATTTATCACTCTGTTTTTAGCTCTGTCTGTAAGAAATGTCTCTGATACAAATATATGCTTTTGATAAGGGTTCCAATTCTGAATCGATTTATCTGTATCTGTCCGCATGTTCCTCTGTCCAATAATAACTTAAGAATCTATTAGGCTAGGCTAACTAATTTTTTCACTAATAACTAATATTTGTTATTGCAACGACCTTATTTTGTCGGGTTTTATTCAAAGAAGTGGTTCTATTAGCTGCCGAACAACTCTTAAAAATAATTTTGATAAAACAGTGTTTTAGTATGAAATTTGAATAAAATTTGGAAGAGATTTTATAAGTTGAACTTGTAATTTCGCTGCCATACATATTCAAAAAAAAAAAATTTTTAAAACCATATAAATGACAAGAAGCACGCAAAACAAATACAACCAAGCTTACTAATGTTCTACAAAATGTTTTCAGTGGTCCGTTTGTCAACAGTCACATAAATATATTAGTATAGGTATCACACAGTTTATCTAAAATTAAATGTTGATTATATAAGTATATAATGAATCTAACAAAATTTACTGAAATTTGATTCAATAAATAATTTTAATAGCAAAGAGTACCACAGCCAATCGTCAAAACCAATCCCTGAAAAAGTTATTTTCCTTCATTTCGAATATAGAACAGCATCTTGAATATTGTTCTGTAGTCTATATGTGAATCAAAACTAAAAATATGATCATTATACAAACACCATAACATTATAAAACAAAGTTTTGGCAAGCAAATCTTAGAAGAGATATGAACTTACTTCTTGTTTTACGCACTCTAAGCCAACTAATTATTTAAATCTAATTCTAAACAGATAATATAAAATCTACATCAGTAATAGCTCTATAAAAATATAAAATAAAATTTTAACGCAAAAAAAGAACATTCAAATAAAGCGACTATTTTTCTTACATTCATTCTCAATATCCTAGCAAGTTTTTGATATTCACTAACATAATATTATTTTTGTTGCTTTTGTTTTTGTTGTTTGTTTGTTCGTTAACGCAATTTTAGATAGTTACTCATTTTCTCAAAATGTGTGACTATCTAAAATTTCTCTATAACAAAAACTGTGCATAAAACTTGGTTGCAATCACAAAGATATAGTAACGATATAGCTAATATAACACTTTCCTTCATGCTCTTTTTAGAAAAGACAACTCGTTAAAATTCCAGAGAATTTATAATTTCAGCAAATTTTTCTACAAACATGGAATTTGCATTATACACACTTTTTTAGAAGTTAACAAATTTACTTTCTACGGGTTTGGGCACAAAATGTATGAGTGATGAAATATTTTTTATTTTTTTCAATTTTTGCGTATAAATAAGGTTACCAGCTATTCAAAATAAATCAACATTTTAGCTCTTTTATTAACGTTTAAGGATCTTCTGATCATATCGTATTCAATAATTCATTAAAATTTTGAGCTTTAATAAATTTCATTAAAAAAACAGATTTAAAATGCTCAAGTTTTACTAAAAGCCAATGTTTTATATAATAGATATAAGATCAACTTTCCAATTTTTTAATTCAAAGATTTTTTGAATTACAAAATGCCAATGCCCTTTTCAATTAAATGAAGTAAATTTTTTGATCAAAACGGAAGATCAGAACTTAGCCGACACCTAATATATAATTTTATACGTATTTCTAAATTTAATACATTCATGGACATTCTTGAAATTTCAAATGAATGTGTTGCTGGAACTCCTTTCTACTTCTTAAAGCAATATTCTTTTACTAGATTAATAAGAGTTGATTTTCGCACTATTGGAATTTTTTAAAAATGTTGTCAAGACTTAAGAAAAGATTATGGAAAACGATTTTTAGCATACTAATCCTTATTTCAGACGCAAAAAACAATGTAAATTGCGGCATAGGACAAGTATTACTACTTTTTTTAAATAGAGAATTTGCTACAAGAAGTGGCTAGTTAAAGATTTTCTCACTAAAAATTGTTCGTTGTTCGCACTTCCAACAAAGTTTTCAATCTCAGAATTTTATATTCTTTACATAATTGTCACTAAAAAATTATTTCAATTATTGAAAAAGTCTTGGTTCTCTTTCTATTCCAATGATTTATTTTCCCTGTTCGTCCCACTCTTTCATCGCAATTATAAAATTGCAAAATGGAATTTTATGCTTTTTCTTTTTCTTTACTCCAATATCAGCGATTTTACAATTTAATCCTTTTCTGTTGAAAAAACAAATTGGTATTCGACCTAATAGCCATCAGTTTGCATATTATGTACAAAACGAAAGAGGAGTAACACAAGTATAAATGCAACTATATGTTATAATACACCATTTTTATTTTGTTGCAAATCAGGTCAGTTTATATAAGACTAAAAAATTAAATATCAAAAAATTTGCACATGAAAAAAAAAACCTTCCTTTTTCACAATCATTCATTATTAGGTTAAAAGCTTTTTTGTTTATTCCGTTTACCTCCGCCACCATTACCATCCCCCGAAATACAATTTTATTTTGTTTTTTCCTCTACAACTCATGAAAACCATATTGACTTTTACCTTTCGGTATATCTTATAAAACCTGATTTTTTTTTCCATTATTAATTTTTATATTAATGGAATTGCAGGTGCATTATGAGACAAACGTTGGATGGACATTGCACAGACATCATGATAAATATTGGGGTTAGGTAAAACAGAAAAAAAACTATATACGTACATATGTAGTTGTATATTATGTGTAAAAGAGTTTATTCATAAACAATCATGAAACATATACATTTTTGTTATAATATCGTGGGGAACATGTGAAATTTTAAAAATAAAATTCATTCAGACGAAAATTAATTCAATACTCAAATGATGAGAGAGTAAACAAACTGCGATCAAGTTTATTACAATCAATCAGAAAGCTTATATATGAACTAATTAACAGAAATAATTAATTTTTCCAGGTGTATCATTGATTTTATGAAATTATTTTCTTGAATAATATTTGAACTGTATAATATAATAAATTACAAATTATTTTTCAAAAAAAAAAGTTGGAGATGGTCGTGTTCTACTGCTACATTTCACTGTAATTTTTCTGTAGGTTTTCTTACAGCAAAATTATGCGCTTGCTAATAAAATCTAAGAAAATTTAAAAATTGATTCAATTACGTTAAAAATATAACTAGAAAAACAGTTTTGGTTTTACATTTACAGTAAATACACTTGAAAACTATAGAAGCTTTTCCAAATTTCTACAATGTTAAAGGAATTCTTTTTTTTCGAAATTTACCTCTCATTTTACTTTTTCGTTGCCCCTGGAGATATGCAATTGAAGAACTTAATATGATATTAAAAGAAAAATATGCATAGCCAGATCGTCGTTTTTAGCTCTTTTACAGCAACATTCGAAAAAAAGTGCTTATTAATTTCACTCTGTCCGTCCACCTGTCCCTGCGCCCATGTCCGTGTTTATAAAACTTCTACACCCTTTAAAATAGAAAATTATAACTTTATATGCAAAATAGATTTTTAATGCAAACTAAAAGGTAAAGTTGACGCCCGCCTTCTACAATGAAACAGCATAATTTGTATAACGACAAAACGGGACTACGAGCAGCCAACCCTTTCAACTTATAGGCTCTTGAAAATAGTCATATTTTTGACACCTATTACAAGCCTTTCAAAATTTCTATAAAAGCAAAAATCTAATAGAAATAAAGAAACCAAGAAAAATGATCATGCCAACAAGAAATTTCATTGAAATTTTTGACTCATCAAAGAAGCGGTCGAATTCGACCATTAGGTAGATGCTATTCTTTTAATTTTAGTGTATGCACCTAAAAGCATGCAATATTTTTGTATTGCATAAAATAAATTTTGTATACAAATGAGAATATTTTAGTTGAAGTCTTTTTTAATAACAAATTGGCTGTAGAATTCTTAATATTTTTCTTACATAACATTCAATAAAATTAGACATTTCATAAGAATGCGCCTATTTTTATCTTATAAGAAATAAGAAAATCGCCATTTTTTTATATTTTTAGTGGAAAGAGAATAGAAAGACGTCTAGTACAAAAACTAGCTATTAAAAGCTGCTAATGTCATAAAAATAATTTGTCACGTATTTCACAAATGTACACACAAAACATACCAAGAGTCTGTATAAAAATGTATTTTAATATTTAAAAATCTAAACAAAATTAAAAACTTCAAAAACCAATCATCTACTTTTAAAAGAAACAATAAATTCCACAATTACTTTAATCATAACAATGATTTTTTCAAAAGGATTTTGCAAGACAAAAAAAAAGAAAAACAAATTATAGAAATTTTGACACATCATTTAATTCTGCTTAGGGGTTTAGGTACCTGAACTACCTGTTGCTACTTCCAGGATGAAGTAAATCCATAGATTGGCTATCCTTATTTTGTAATGCGGCCATTTGATGATGATTTCGATTTGACCGATTTGAACGCATATCTGATGTTATATGTCGCGGCGTATTACCACGTCGGTCAATTGGAGACGATTGGTCATTATTTGATTCAGTACTTGAGTCTGGACGAAATATTTCTATATATACAATGAAAATAAATAATAGATACGGACAATAAAAAAATATTTAACAATATGACAAAAGTTTGATTTTCGCATATATTGAAAGCGTTATTTACCTCTTGAAGATTTCACAGGAACTCTATAAGTAGGTATATTTGAAAATTCATTGCTAGGACTAGCACTAGTATCGGATTCAGATTCTCCGTGACTAGGATCACTCATACGATTCGTTTTAACACGATTTACATGATTCGATGGATCACGAGATGATTTTTTATGATGACCCGATATTTGAGAGCTACCAGCTACCATTGTCATTGTTTTACTTAAAGTTGACTCATCTATAAAAAATTTTACACAACAAAAAAAAAAATTTTTTTTTTAATAACAAGCCACTAATTTATTTAATATGAACAATTTATACCATCTGTATTATAATATCGTTGTTTATGCCAACTTGATTTGGATTTAACATGTCCGAAACCAGAACTAGGTAATACAGGATAAGCAGTTGCATTTAAATTATCACCCTCCGGATGACCAAATGTTTTGAATTGCATCGTATAATCTAAGGTTGAAGCAGGAACTGCACTTCTTGTGGGCGTTTTAACCTGACCTGTTGCACCAGTTCGACCACCACTAACACTAAATGTTGCATATGGAGAAATTTCATACATTTCTGCAAGAATATAATGTAAATTTAAAAATTAATTGTTTTATTGTTCTAAATTAATTTTATACCAGACTCATTCGCTTTATCAACGGTTTTAACAGGGGAAGCACTATAAACTTGTTGGTTTCTACGGTTTTCTTGATCTTCTTTATAATCACTAGGAAGTGCACGTGATTCATATCCTTCAGACATTGGTCCACACAATGTTCGACGGTGTTTAATTATTAAACCGCTATATTAAATATAAAATCCGTATATAATTTTTATTTTATTAAAATTAAGGTAAACGAAATTTATTGGAAAATTTAATTCAAGGAATAATATTCAGAGTGTAATAGGAACAAAGTTGCCCATTCTGTTTGTAAATTTACAATCTTTTATTTGTAACTTATATAGGCGTATTTTACTGACATTAATAATTTGTAATGTTTTTTATTGTAATTTTAATTCTTACTGTTATTTATTACAAAATTTTGTTGTAATTTTAATTATCACAATCACTAACATTTGCAGGTACTGAAAACGATTTATAATTTGCATTCCAGTCTAATTAATCTCCGTGCACAATATTCAATTCAATATTTTTTTGAAATCTTTATGGTTGCAAAACAGAAATTTACATTTTCAATCACTGCCGCAATTATAATTAAAAACATACAAACATTATTCTTTTTTTAAGGCAAACTTTTTGGAAAAATGGATTTTTATTTTAATTTAAAATTTTTTTCAAAAGTTTGTAACAAAAAATATAATTAGACACAATAATTTGGGCATATGTAAAAGATTAATAAATCAATTGTATCATTTAATTTCAGCAGACGAATTTTAATTTTAATTATGAGGAAAATTTAAAAAAAAAACGACTTGTGTAAGCAGTTAATTTATATGAATGAATAAAAAACCCGAATTTCTACTCGTAATTATAAATGTTAGCCACAGTTCATTTCATCAAATTTTGTTCAAATTAAAGCTTCATTAGCTCGATTTGTAAATTCTATGAATATGAAAAAAATAAAAACTCCAGCAAATTCTCATAAAACAAATTCCACAATCGCCGTTTAATGCTTTCCTAAACCCTACCTTTGAAACAGTTTTTGCTTCCGAAAATTTCGGAATAAACGATTTTTTAAAACTGTCAGCTTATTAATCCAAATTGGAAATGCAAATTATTTATAATCAAATTTGAAAAATGTCCTTACAAAACACGTCACAAGTTCGAATTGTAAAATATTTCTTTTAATATTTCTCAATTTTAACTTTCAATAAAGAGTCTACTTTATATAATTTTACTCGATTCGAGTATACAAAAGCTATTTTTATTATTAGTTACTCGTTTTAATTGCATAATAATATTCAAAAACAAAGCGTTTTCGAAAATATATACTCAACCCAAATTACATAAAATTTAATTTGCATATTATTGTTACATTAAAATTAAAGTTTCCATAACATTATATAAGTTAACATAAACAATAAATAATTAAATAATAATGTATGTACTTGTACACTATATTATACAATATATGAGTATATAAATGCACATAATTATCATAATTATATACTAACACTTTAAAAATAATAAAAATTTAAATATACTTACACAAGTAGAAAAAATATTATAATTATAATTCCAACAATTAATGTCGAAAACCAATCATTTTCCGGTGCAACATTAATCATATTATTCATAATATCATTTTCAGATGGGAATACAGCAGGAGGTGGTATTGTTATACCATCAATGCTAGTTGTTGCAAAATTATAATGTTCTGTTGTTTTACCAGCATCATTAATAGCTGATATTCTCAATTGATACCATTTAGCTGGTAGAAAATCACAAAACATTAAATTTTCACGATTTTCTTCGGCATTTGATATATCTGATGTGACAACAGTCCATCGAACTTCACCTGAAACATATTATAATTAATGAATACATACATATACACACACTTAATACATAAATAATAAATAATGTATGTATATAATGTGTTTGTATGTAAAATAAAATAATTAAACTTTATTAATTCATTTCTGTTTGCATAACAATTTTATTTAAACATTTTTTTTTTATTATTCGTAAATATTTATTTAAAATTAAAAAAGAAGTTAAATAGTCTTTTAATTAATGAATTTAATTCAGCAAACAATAATCAGATCATTTCGGTATATTAAAATTGTTTTGAATAAATATTACAGTTAATATGTAATATATACATACTTAAAATGTAAGAGTATATACGTACATTAAAAGTACAAATACAAGCACACACATATAAAAAATAATATACCTAGGAGCCTATGTTCAATACTAAAATGATTTATTGGGCATCCACCATTATTCCATGCTGCTAACCTTAAATTTAAGCACGATGAATTCACTGAAATCAATTCATCTTGTTCAGGTGCCACAGATACTGCAATATATACATAATATTAAAGGAATGAGAAATATAAATATTTTATTTTAATTTTTGAATGATTTTAATGTTTGAGGGCATTTCTGTAATTTTCTGTAGTTTTTCACTTGAATTGCAAAAAAAAAATTTGTTTATTAAATTTTTTCCATTCGTTATTCAATATAAATTTTTTCGTTTTTACGTTATTAAAATAAGGAACTTAATTAAATATATAGGGCACAATTGATATACTATATCGCAATATACCGTTAAGCGAATTCTAGGAAAAAAATCACGCTGCTTTTCTATCTCTCCATTTTTCAACTTTAAAAATTTCACAAATTTTTTATAAAATTTTCAAGAAATTGCAAATTTACTCATTGCCACACATGAGAAGGAAATAATAGGCAGCCAAAAAAAAATTTATTGCTATAAAGAAATTTTCTATTTTCGCCACAAAATATGCAAAATGTACTCACTCATACCGAACAAATCAACGTACTCCTTGATAAATCGTTAGCTCGAACTTGTTTTTTTTAAGGATGCACATAATTATATTCAAACTATGTTTTGTTAAAAATAGTTTGCTAAATTTACGTTAACGTATAGCAATGTTTATGTACGTGTGTATGTATAAATTAAGAAAATATTATGCTACTACAGGTAACTACGCTTGTAATTTCAAAACAAGTTGAATTGAATTATTATAATTTAATTTACAAACCCATATATATGCATATATACATATTATGCAATATATATATATATATATATGTATATGCATTTATTAACGGAAATTATCAACAAAAATTTCAGTTTGTTATCTTTTAATTAACATCAAGAAAATTACATTTTACGCTTATGTTTTCTATCGATAAGAATTGCAACCAAAAATTATGTATATATACGCTATACAGGAATATAAGAGTAAAGTAATATAGGCTTATATTATAATATGCACAATAAAATTACAAAATAAATTTTAACAACCAAAAATGTACTTGTAATGAATGCATCTATATATACATAAAAAGTTGCCTTAATTATTATTTTACATAAGAATTGCACCGAAGTTACCAAATGTTGTGAAATGTTTCCGCTTTGAATTGAACATGGATTTTGTGATTGCGGATGAAACGAAATATGGTTTTAGTTGTCATACAGATTTATATTTCATACATTATTATTTAATTTTCAATTTGTTCCATATGATCAACCCACCAGGAAATTTAATCCTTTCCATTCTTAGAACGAGATCATTTTAACTCAGTCTTCTCAGTCTTCTTTACTTCTTTTTCAAAAACTCAGTATTTTTTACACATGAAATTCAAAAAATAGCGTAGAATAATTTTATCAAATAAATTATTGGATTTCAATTGTTTTTCGTATATTTCGGAAGCAATTGCCTAATTAGTAAAACAGAAGCCGCAGCAGAAATTGAAGAGGTTATTATACGCTATGTGAAAACGCCAATGAAGCAATTCAAATATTTTGAGTTCGATATTATAAAAGCAATCGTTTCTACTGCAAAGTTCCATATTGTATATTTAAAGATTTTTACAATGTCGCACATTTCGAATTGTAAAAATAATGTTTTAGATACGTAAGAGAAAACGCAAGTATTTAAAATAAATTTTGAATGCATTTTAGAAAGTTTTCAGATTGAATTTTGGCAAAGGATTGTAAGAGTTGTATATCAATACTTCAGATACAGTAGTAAAGACGTTAATTTACTTCAACAATCCGAGGTTTATAAGAAATTCAATTTAAAAGAATTAAAAAAAATTTAGGTATAACAGTAATTTGAGTACATTTTTTTTGTTTTTGGGAAAAATATCTGACTACCCTATAAATTATTCATAACCTCATCAACGATAATAGTCTCTTTCAACATAATATACGAGTATTGAAATTTAATTGCAAAAAATTTAAAAACAGCAAAACAGTTCAAAATATTCCTATACCGCTTTCATCTGGCTAAATAACAATGTGCTTTCAAATTATATCGCGTATATAAATAGCATTGACTACAGCTACATACACTTATAATTTTTCAATTATAAATTTTATTATTTAATTATGTGCTCGTAATATTATAATATAATAAAATTTATTATTTACTTAAAATATTACCTTTGCCTTTTGTCCATACATTAATTTCTTCACATGGTTGACCATCACCGACCATATTATGTGATGACATTTTTATAATATATTGTGTACCACATTTTAAATTACCAATTGTATATCCAGTATTTTCTGGTGTTAATTCAATTTGAGACCATTTTTCACCCATTATCTTATAAAAAATTGTATAGCCTTGTATTGGAGCGCCACCATCTATTGGTATATCCCAACTTATACGTATACTATCAGATGATGCATATTTAACAATTATTTGGGGTGGATTGGGTGTTTTCATAGCAATCACTTCATAAACTATATCATCTTTACCAAATAGATTATTCGCTGAACATGTGTAATTTCCTGTGAGACTACTTTCGACACCTGCACAAAAAAATTCCATTTTATAATGCATTTTTTTTATATTTTTAAATATTTATTTTATGTTCACATTATAAAAAAGATGAAAAAATACTGGAAAAAAAGACTTGAAAAGAAAAGGTTTTCTTTTTTTTTGCTTTTGAATAAGTTCCACTGTATAAATAATTAAAATATGATCTCAAGTATATGAGGACAATAGCAGACTGGAATTTGTATTGCCGCAATAAAATAAAAATCCCATTAAAGGATATTTGAACAGAAAATTAAGATTATAAACTTCAAAAAAAAAAAAAAATAAAAAACTTGTGGTTTGCCTTTATTGTACTTTGCAATTTCAGTTTTTCAGTTATAGTTTCTGTTATTGTTATAGAACTGAGTATAACCTAAAAAACGGCAAAAAAATATTTTTATGTAATTTCAAATTTAGTGTTGAAAAGTTTATGAGTAGTGAGTAAAGATTATAAACAAAAGTTTCGAAATATTTGTAAACGAAAACAAGAAAGGTGTTGAATGAGACACCATTAAACAAGAAAAACCACAAAAATTATGATTTCAAATTGGTAAAAAAAATTATAATTTTTTATTTCAGAAAACTTACGATGAATTTTTAAATTTCCTTCTGTTGTTACTTCATAAAATGGACTAAATGTTACAGGACGATCTCTAGTTAACCATCTTGCTCTTGGTGTTGGATTACCAACTGCTAAACATTCTAATATTAACATTGAACCGACTGCTTTTCTTATTGTTTGAGAGAATGATGCTATACGTGCTGGAGCTGCAAAAAAAAAAAGTAAAATTTATTGAAGATAATGGAAAATTGTAATAAATGAAAATAAAATATATTTTCTGTAATACAAAAATAACTGCGAAAGTATACACAAGGTAATTTTATACATAGTACATAAGAAATATTAAGGAAAATGGCTTTGTAAAGTGTATATATAATTTATTTGGCAGTTAAATGGAAAAAGAAAGTCATAAATTTTAATATTTTTATTAAAAGAGAAATGGAGAAAGAAAACTTTTGTATTCATTTGAGTGTCACGTATATTCATAATATTTAAATTACAGTTTTAGTTTTATAAACCGGAAAAGGTGTGATAAACTACATATGAATAAATTACCGTTATCAATATTAATTCCTTCCATTGAAAGATAAATGAAATATTTTTCATAAATAATTGTTAAATACCAAAAAATTACACCACCGAATACAAGATTTTAAAGTACTAAATTTCTTTCAAATTGTTTTTATCAACCGCGTTACACTTACAATAAGAGAGGTTATGTGAATGCACCAAATTTCACATGTCGAATTTTCTGCCTCACAGTTTCTCTGTGATGAAGAAACGTAAATGAACTATTTTTAGTGAAATGAAAATTTATATCTGAATTTACTTTACTCATGTCACAGATTAATCAACTTTCAGGATATGTCAGGTTTATTTCATAAATGTTATATACAACTGATAATACGCCAAATCACCTTACTTACCAGTGGCCGAATTTATTACATTTTTGTTAACTAACACGTAAATAATCAATCAATTTCTACGTAATTCAATATTTCAACTTCGGTTATTAAAATCGAAGTCAATTTTCTTATAATATCGGAAGTCGAACAGTTATTAGAGGCAGATTCCACATTCTTTATCATATCTAATGTAATATCTAATGAACTGTAATCTTTTCAAAGTAATTATTTGAGTAAAGCCTGCCAATGCAACTAACTGACAAACTTCCAGATTAATCGAATAACACAAAGTAAACAACTAAATTTACACATTTTTCTAAATGCTTATATTTTTCCTTAAAATTTGAAAGAAGTGTTTAAAAAAACAAACAATAATCTTTGTAGTTCGTTTTTTGCTGATTAAAAATTAATTTATCAATTAAATATTAAAGAAAAAATTTTAATTTTACGATATGCAATACACGTATGTGCAATATCCTTGAATTAATTTGAGTAACCGGAACTCAAATTAATATTAATTTAACGGGAAATAAATAGAAACTTTTTAAATTTCTTTAAAATTTTACTTGGTTTGTTCTTCTAATAAAGCAAGGTTGACCTAAAAGAGGTATTTGCAGTCAATCTGTGAGATTTCTCAAACAATTCAAAATCGGTTTGTTAAAAAAAGAATATTGGTTTATAACGTTGCCAATTGCAACTTATTTCACTTTTAATTTACTCTTGCGAAAACAAGTTTTTAGTTATGTTCCCAATAAAATACGTTAACTCATCAAAAGCCGTGGAAATATAAAAAAATCACTGTCAAAAAATAAAGTTAATTTATTAGGAAAATTTAAATTAGTGTACAAATTCAACATAAGCAATGATTTTAATAATTAAGTATATTATTCAAATATAAACTTACATAAATTTTGAAAAACTTTTTTCTAAATAGGTTTTACATTTAAAAGATAGCCAGTTCTTCAAAGTGCCTGCCGTACTAAAAATACACACGAGAGTTCCATAAGCACACTTTTTAAAGCAGATCTTTTGCTGTAGGATTTGGGTTGGCGTCTTTAATTGTTTAGAAAGAACTATAGATTAAGCACATATTAAATTCCGAAAGAGAAATACAATTAAAGGGAAATTCCGTGCTTTTGAATTTTTTACGATTTATTTAGAAAGCTTTTGACGCTAAAGGGTTAAAGAGTGCTATTTTACGAAATCATTACTATTAGAAAACAACAAAATTATTCCCAAATTTTTAATAACCAAACTTACTGGAAATGTTTCAAATATTTTCATCTTAAAAATTCATGTATAGGTTCGCACAGGGACAAATTTATTTTTCAGATTATTTTGAACACTTTTAATAAAATAATTTGGTAAAATCAAAAAAAAAAAATTTAATGTTTCAATAATTTATACGATTTTACTAAAATTATTATTAAAGCATTTTCAATTAACTTTTCACATTTATTTTTAAATGACTTGTAAATTTTTTATATGCATAAATATTTTATTTACTTAAATTCCTTTTGTATATGAGCATTTTATTACCAAAAATACAAATAAAATTTCAAAATTACTGTAGCTATGTGTGGATTTATGTTTAGAGAAGCTTTATAAATAACTCAGTAACAGTAAACTTTTTATGTAATAAAATAAATAAATTTTAACTACACACATGCATAACACAATATCTTAAAATAAAATGTTTTATGACAAAATTTCCAGAAAAATTAAATATTAAAAAAACGTCATTACGTAATTTTCTCGATTGAAAAACTGTAAAACACAGAATTTTATAGAATTTCTTGTTAGAGGAAAACTTAATTCGCTGATCTTTTCTTAATTTCAGTATAGATAGAATACTGAACTCATTTAGTTTTGAACACTTTGAAGCTAAAACCGATTCCGTATGTCATAAACCTGCCATAAACCTTTCTGTTTTTAAATAAAAATGATTTCTAATGTTCGAAAAATAATCTTTTCTTTAAAATAATTTAAATTGTGGTTCAAGAGTCTTATTTCAATCCGACTATTACAATCCAACTATTTCAATTGTATTAAAATGTATTATAAATATTTTAAATCTGCGTAGGTTTACAGTCACTCATTTAAAAACATACAGCTCTGGTAATATATTAGTTTTTAAATAATTTTCATTATTGTCCAGTTCCCATATTTGCCTTCCTCCATTTAAATGCTAATTTATGCTCATTAACACATACACATAATTAATTATATATAAAAAAAAAATTGCAACAACTATAATAAAAAATTACTCACCTCGACTATTAGTTGGTTGGGAAACCACTGAAGTTGGTTCACCCTCACCTACTGATGTTGATGCAGAAACCCAAAATTCATACATTTGATTTTCAACAAGACCTCTTGCCTCAAATGTTACCGGATAACCATCTTCATCTACCCGTATCATATGAGCTGTAATAAAAAATTTTAGAATACCGTGATAATAATTATAATATAATTAAAAAATAATACACTCACACTCATATATACATTTTAAATTATAAAAAATTTTTAAAATTGGTGATTCATAGTGAGGAAGAGAAATGAATTTTAATGAACTGATAATAAAAATACATGCCTGTTATAAATTTTTTTTTATTGAAATATTGAAATGAAATGCTACCGGATTTTCTGAATTTAAATTACAAAAAAATAAATGAATACATTAAATACACCTTTTATTTACTGTCATTTTAACTTATTTGGAGTACATAATAAAAATTTATTTAATCACAGTTATAATGTCATTGAAAATTTGTAATCACAATCCGAAAATATAAATATTACATTAAGAAAAACTGTTTTTTGACATTCTGTATATTCGAAAACTGGATTTCAAACAATTTCTCCCGAAATTTGAAAAAATTTCTTATATTGCTAAAATTAAATTTATATTCTAAGAAATTATAACATGGGCTTCTTTACAGAGTTTTCGCAAAACACCGCCTTGAAAATGCTACTGTGGTGAACTCTATAAATGTTGATCGTAAATTAGTTGTAACTTTCAAAAAAACAATCGTCTACATATCTAAGTTATTTCAATCGTATCATGATAAAATCATTATGACAAGATCCAAAAGAAACTTTAGCATAATGTTCGAATTTAGCGAAAATATTATTTTTCGATAAAAAGCACTTTACAGTTCCTTTTCACTTTTTTTAGAAAAATATTAAGCCGATTTTTAATAAATTTAAATTCTAAATTCGAATTTTACTAACTTCTGCAGGCGATAATTTGGAAGGGAAAGCAACTAAAAACCATTTTCGTTTGAACGAAGTAGGTCATTTATTCATCCCTGAAAACTGTTGAAATATTAAACTTCTACGAGTTTTACGCCTAAGAGAAAGACTATATCAAAAAATTGGAAAATAACAGGTTTAAACGGATACTTATAGCAGCCTTTTTGCATATTGTGTAAAGGCCATTCCGCGATAGAAGACGCAAATCGTTCATTTTCTGCATTTACGAAATTAAAAAAATGTTTGTGGTTTCGATCGAATAAATTGATAAAAAATAGTTTTGTTAGAATTTGGAAAATGCAAAGATCCATTTTCACATGCAATCAATGAAAATCCATTTGGTTAAAAAATTTCAGTTCTCTATTCTCATTTGAAAAAGGGCTAGCAAAATTAAATGAAATGCACTAAATATATGATAAAATTAAAAAAAAAAATCAAATTTTTTGTAAAAATCGTAAAAAAAAATTTTAAAAATAAAATCATTTTAATTTCGTAATAAAATTTTTATTATAAATTTTCACAGAGCATGTACGCAAAAATTATTAGAATTCCCATTTCATTCAGTTTCAACTTAACATAACTTTTATCTATACAAAAATTAACATTTTTCTATTATAAATTTTAAATAAATAATTAATTCACTTACATTTCGGTTGTCCTTTACGTCCTGCTTCTCTACTATACACTGTATAATGTGTTATAATACCATTACGATTATGTGGTGGTAACCATGATACTAATATTGAATCTGCTGTTAAAGCTGCAGCTTTTATTGCACCTGGTGCATCTGGTACATCATCATCTGTTATACAGAATAATGCTGGACTTGCCATACCATCTCCCGTAGATGTATAAGCTAATATCTTTATAGAATAATTCGTTGCCTTATGTAATGTATGTAAAGTTGTTTCTAAATTTGAAGTACGTTTTATTTCCAATTTAGAAGCGAAATCAACTGTTATCACAATAAAGGAAATAAATTGAAAAATTATTTATCTAAAAAAAATATCCTTCGCACAAACAAAACACCAACTTTTATGGAGAATCATAGAATTTTATATTTTACAAAATGAATATAAAAATAAGAAAAAAATCTGAAAAAAAATCAATATTGAATTAAATTTTAATAAATTTTTGTCTTGTTCAGGGCTGTTCAACATTTTTTTTTTGTTCGGGAAACTTTTAAACGTAAAAATTATTTGGAATAATTCTTTTCGGATTTTGAAATTTAAATTTTACAAAATTTTCTTCTATGACAAGGAAAATTCGATTCGTGAAACGAATTGCTGTAATTTTTTTAAAAAGGTGAGTATAGCAATTTCCAAGGCATGTCACTAAAAAGCTTTTAAAAATTGTAAATGACCAAAGGCGATTTGAACGAAGTGCATTTTCTTAAAAATCTATGTAAATTGTGAAAATTTACTACATCTTAATTTACGCGAAAGGTTGATAAAATTCTCGTGCTTTATAGAATTAGAAATATTGGATATTTTTGTCACTTGTCACTTAAACTGTAATCGTAAACTCTGTTTAACAGAAAAATTCATTATTGAAATCCATCGCTTTTTTTTGAAATTCTGATAGGAAAAGTATTTTAATGAAAAAAGTACGTATGAGGGAGAAGTTCTGTACATAAAAAAATTCAAATTGAAAAACCAATATTTTAAAAAAATAGTATCGAAACTAAATTGAAATAATTTCCAATATTTCATTAAAATAATTTGTGAAAAGAAATAAAACTACCAAAAGTCAGAAGTGTTTATTTTGAAAATTGATTCCCATCAATATACGAAGAGTTCTCTTCTCTAGTCCATTATAAATATTTCATTTGAAAAAAGTTGACCTAGTTTTGTTTCTTGTTTTCATTTTGTTCAATTTAAATTTTTTTTTTTTTGTTTTTAAAGAAAATATTTTAAAATTTTCATGTCCTTTAAACAGACAAAACTAAAATTTATATAAAAGCAAAATTAAGAAGAAAAATTATAACCAAAAAACATAAAAAACGTAACAGAAAAGAAAAAAAAAAGACTAAATTTAATTCAAACACAGAAAACGTAAGAAAATCTCTTAAAAAAAGAAAATTCAAACTACCACTGAATAATTTAAGAGCATTTAAAATAAAAAATAACGGTAAAAGAAAATCGAAAGAGAAAATTATTCTCTATGCATATAATAGAGATTCTGAAAAATAATAATAATATGAGAAACAGCAACAACAGCAATCATAGTAACACTTACTTCTTTTAACGATTGGCCTATATAAAATTTTATATCCTTGAATAATACCACCATGATATTGTAAAGGTGGCTCTTGCCAAGTTATTCTTACACTTTGTGATGATTGTGATGAACAGGTAACATTTTGTGGAGGTGCTTCCGGTACTAAAAAGTAAAAATAATAATAATCATTTTTTGTTTTTTCATTGGAAATGGTGATAAAATATATAAGATCCAAAATGATTCAACATTCAATATTTAAAATCAAGTCGAATGAATATACTCGTATTCCGAGTATAATGTTTGGCAGGGAATATAAAAAACTGAATGGAATGAAATTTTGAGAAGAATGTAAAAATTTTCATTACATATTTAGTATCTAAGCTGCTGCTAGTGTATACAACAAAATAATATGTGCCATGCCTGTGTGTAATATGTAACTATTTCACAAATGCATAGACACGTGTGTTTATTTATACAGTATCGAAATAACTAAATAATTCGAATAATATTTTGGAAAAATCCGTGCATCGTATTAAATATTTTGATTAAATTTTTTTAAATTTTAAAATGAAATTCTTGAATTTAGTGAAAAATACTTTAAGCATTCTACTAATTTTTTTCGATACTGTGTACATATAAAATGCGTATTCTATAGCAACCCACCAATGCTAAAGATTCAACTTTATATTTGTTTAGTTAAATATCATGAATATTTCATTTAAATTTTTTCTTAAGCTCTTCGGTACTGAATTTATAAACTCAAATATAAAATAAAATTTAAAGTTAGTTACCATATAAGTTTAAAGCAAGGTTAATGTCAAATAGTAAAATAAAAACTCAATTCATGTATTCATTCAACCATGTGTATAGCAAAATATGAACGTACATTTAAAAATTCACATACATTTGTACATACGAATTTGTTTATATCCTTCGCACAGCTGTATATTCGCAGGGTATTATAAATTTGCCTTACTGTTTGTTACGATAAAAAATAATGGGCTGAGAGATACACTTAAGTGTATATTTTTTTAATCAGCACCGAATTCTGAATCAATTTAACAATATTTGTCCGTATATCTGTCTGTTCCAACGAAAACTCAAAAACAAATTGAGCTATGCAATTTTTCACAAATGGTTTAAAATAGTAAATTGCGGAACCCTACTTAAATTGGATGTGATCGAGACAATGGGTAGCAGCCATACAACTTCAAAAGTGATTTGATTTCCTATTATGGAAGCTATTGAAATTACAATGCTGAAATTTTGCATAAACGAATATAATCTTAGGGCCATTATTTGCAGTAAAAATAATGACGAAAATTTGAGACGGTATGAAGTAACTGCCATAGACATATGTGTAAAATAGCACTATACATGTAAAAAAACATCGACAATTATCATAGAATTCCTGAAATCATTCTTTAGCGATCAACTCTACCCATTCTCGTCTTGAAATAATTTAAAGTTCTGCTTAAAATTTAAAATAAGAGAAAGATAAAATAAATTTTTTTTTACCTCCTTCTGATGTTGTACCAAATACTGCAGCACTCCATGGTCCAGGTCCAAAACTATTTAATGCTCTAACTGTTATTGCATATCTTGTATATTTTCTTAAATTTTTCAAAGTTGCTTTTGATGTTGCCCATCCATTTACCGTAATTGATTTCACAGAATTATTAAGAACACTAATATAATTAATATTTTGTTTCTCTTCAGTGCAATTAACTGTATAACCAATTAGTTCTCCATTCCATGATTCCCTTGGTGGAATCTTTAAAATTGAATGAAAAACAAAAGAAACAAAAAATCAGAAAAACTATAAATTTCAACTTAAAGCAAGATTTTGTAGCAATGCAATTTAACTAAAATGTTAAAAAATTGTTTAATAAAAAAACAAGGAAAAATTATTTTCTTAAAATTTTATAAAGTGAATGAAGAAATGGTTAATATGCATAATATGCAGCCAGAAAACTTTTCATAATAAAGAAGGATCTTATTCTTGGCAATAAGCCAATTAGTTAAAAAAAGTTTTATTTTTTTTCTTTATTTTGTTTTTGAACTTTCAACACAATTAATGCTTCATTTTTTTTTGTTGACTTTTAAGAAAATCAGTCCGTTATTCAATTTCATAATAATTAGGTTCCTTCAATAAATTGTAAATTTGAATTTTAATAATTTCTCAATTTAGATTCTTGGAATAACACTCAACAACTTAATATTACTCCAATTGCAAATGTATGGTTACAACTTTGTAAAATTTAAAAGTTATTCTGAAATTCAGGGTTCTTTTTTCTGAAATTCAGTGTCCTTTTTAAGGACAATATTAATATGATAATATATTTTACTGATTGGAATATAAAATGTTTACAGATATACACAAGTTTCTTAAAATTTATTCAAATACAACATTCTTACCTGCCAAGTAACAATTAACTCACGTTCTCCTCCAGTTTGCACTTGTACATTTGATGGAGCTTCGGTCGGTGCTTCCTCTTGAGTTTTTAAAACAATTGCATCCGTAAATTGACTTCTTTCAATTTCATTTATAGCTTGCATCCTTATTAAGTAGGTAGTTGCTGGGCTCAGGCCACTAACAATCGCTGTTTCTCTTAAATCGTTGTCATAACTGTAAATTAATAATACATTACATTAATTACAATATTTGATTTTGGTTCCAATATTGAATTCCTTAAATAGAAAGATAAAATTGTTGATTGTTTAGTTTCCAGAGTTTTAAGAATGCGAATTACAAAGAAACTTTCAATTTGAGGGCAAGCGTTTACTTAATAGCAGGCAATAAAAAATTGTTATAAAAAAAACTTTTTTATCGCATAAATAATTTGGAACATCAAAACAATTTCAGTAAAATAAAGCAAAATTCGACAATGTAGTGAGTCTTGTGTGAAATCTCAAAATAAGTAAAAGTCCCGTTCAAATTGTTGTATAGTTTAAGGAAATAAATTTTTTCTTAATGAAAATGAAAATTTAATTTCTTGAAATTTATTTCACAGAAATGCTTGTTAGATAAGTCCGTCCTTCACTTAAATTTCAAAAATAAAAAATTCCTAAAATACCATTGATAATTGTCTAAGATACGGTATGGTCATAAATAAAAATTGACATCATTTACACGCTGTGTTCTTACTTTGGCCTGAATGGAACAAACTAAAACCATTGTATAGTTTTCAAACTAAATCCGAGCCTCTCTTATTGCATTGGCCTTTTTTAGATTTATTATGACTTTATTTGCATTAATTTTCAAATTTGACCTCTTTTATAAAAATTCGGCTCCTAAAATTAAAAGTTTCAACTCTGATCTGGTGTTTTATTCTGGCAGAATAAATTCTCATTATAGAAGCAAGTTTTATTATAAATCAAGCACACTGAGCTTGATCTGTTTGCGTGAATCTGGATGATTGCGTGAAATAATTATTATTGACGAAATATTTATCATATACCAAAATAATGTTGAAGTTGATGGTTTTGATTAAACCCTATTTAAATTATAATACAACTTATTTTCTCGAAATTCCCAATTTGATGTGGTGAAGATCAAACCAAAGACACTTATGTATTGCGTAATGCATAAATAACCACTTATATTTAAAGAAAAAATTAGCAAAATAATTTCATAATGAAAATATTTTAAAATTGACTCTGTTGCCTTCATTCCTAATTCGAATATAATTTCCAAAGAAGAACTTTTTTTTATTGAAAATTCCTCAAAGAATGTGCATTAAATTATCATTGATTTGTTCCATTTGTTGTGACTAACATCAATATTTCAAAGCACATTACGTGTCAATTTCCAAGGAAAATCATATAATTTTTTCTGTGTAATAAAATTGAATAGGTAATTAAGTATATTGGGTTGAAATACACTAAATTGGCATTGCAAGTTATTATGCAAATATCTCACAATACTTTACCATTATGAAAAAAATTATTAGTGTACTGAAATTTTTGAAAACGGAAATAAAATATTTTTATAATGAATTTGGAACAAAGCTTTTATCTCAAAATATGAGGATAATTTTACTCATGGTCCTTATTAATGGTGAAAGCTATATTTAAAATTTGAAAGAGAAAAATAATTACAATAGAATTTTATTTAGAATACAATCGCAAAATGTTAACAATTTTATGAAACTAAAAAAAATAATTTTTAATCTGAAATATTCCCAATTTTATTGCCCTAATTTAAAATATAGAAGTTAAAGCATTTACATAACAATAAAGGTATGTACTTGCACTAAAATTAATGATAAATCAATGCGCACAAAATTCATTGATATTCAAAGTCCCTGTCGAATAACTCAAACAATAAGGATTTTTATGCAATTTTTTTGAAAAAAAAAAATATTTTTCTAGTGCCTAATGGAACATAATTCATTTATAGTTTTTCTTTTCTATTCCAAAAATATCCTTTTATAATGAAAAATTTATTCTTACCTTTTACTAATACTAGTTGATGGTAATGATACATTAACTGTACTTTGTGTATTCCAATCAGTTTTTGGGCTAATTAACATTGTTGGATTTTGTAAAAATTTTAATGGTTGATATTGTACTAAATAGCTAAGTACTGGTGAATTACCATCAAATGGACGACGCCATGATAATTTAACATTACGACTACCAATTTCAAATATTTCTAAATTTGATGGTGTATCCGGACGTTCTTGTACAGCTAAATATATTACTTGTTCAGATCTACCATATGGATTTTCAGCAGTACAACGATAAACACCAGAATCATGTCGATCTGAACGACTAATCGATAACTGAGAATCAACACCCTTATCAGTTTTAATTTCAGCAATATTAAATCGATAATTATTTAAATCTATACGTCCATTATTTTGTGTCCATGTTATTGTTATAGGTTCATCGCCCTTTGCATGACATTGCAATGTTACGGGATCATTACGACGCGATGAAACATTTTGTGCTGATTGTTCAAAACGTGCAGGTTCTACGTATATAATAAAATATATTTTTATATAGACAAAATTAAAACATATACACAGAAAGAAAATTTGAATAATTTAAAAATGATAATGTTTTTATGTAAAAATATTGTACATATTTCAACAAGAAAAAAAAAGAAAACAAAACAATAACACAAATTTATAGTAGGAAACCTAAATGTATCCTTTTATGGAAACCAAATAAAATATTCTTATGTACGTGCATTTTTAAAACGAAATTTATTTACATACATATATTCATGTGCCATAATATTAAAATTATAAAAACACATATATATGCATGTAGATGTTTAGAGATTAAAAATTGCAAAAGAATGAACAAGAATATCATAAAATTTTAACTTGAACCATTAAAGACAGTTTATATAATAATAAAGCCTGAACAGGTTGCAAATTATTTGAATTTTAAATTGCAAAACATTATTTGAAAAGGTTCATAAACAGACTGCTTTTGTTTCGAATGCATTTTTATACAAAAGTTTCACAGTGCTCCCAAATAGAAACATTCAACAGACTCAAGTATACTAAAACTTATAGTAAATTTTGATTGTTTTTGGCAATTTAGAATAGATCCATGGACCATGATAAAATTTTAAATTTAAAATCCAGAATCTCTAATTTCCTATAATACTTTCCAACAACAAGAGCAACTCTAGCTTGATTTATTAAACATTTAAAAAGAAACAGTTCAGTCTGATTTTAAGCGTCGCCCTCACAAAATCTGAACTAATAAGGTGATATACAACGAAATATATGATTGTAAAAGTACAAAAACACCCGTTCCATATAATTTTCATTATAGATTGAAAGACACGAGGTGTTATTGTATTTGGAATGTATCCTAAGTTAATTATATGTTGCAATGCTAACATTATTCTATATTTATGAAATTGAGAGCAAGCAATTTTGGTATTTTGAATAAACTTTAACATACACGATTATGTAAAAAGTGCTATAATGAAGCCTGATTCCATATACATTTATTTCTCTTTTTTATTTTATATTTCTTTAGCTTCAACATAATGATAATAACCATCCCATGTAAGGGATTGTTTTTCTATACCTTCGAATTAGTTGAATTTAATGGAGCCTAAACGCAATTTGATTTTTATATACAATTTATTTGAATTCAACTTGATGTTTTAAAAATATTTTTACTAATTTTTAATTTTTCTTTTCATTTGTTTTTTATTCTGCCAGCAAAATAATTGCTACCAAATGGGAACTTCATAAATATTATAAAATCTTAATTGAAAATTTATACTAATGACTGCATTGAATCATTAAATTTTCTGGTTTCATAGATAACGCACCTACCTTTCATTAGTTAGAATTAATGAAATAAAATTAAAGTGCAGTTTAAAGTGGGACTTGCATTTATTAAACAATTAAATCATAAAATTGGTATTTAGAGCAATTCTGTGAAATTATACTTGAAATTGTAATCTTAGAAGAACACTAAAACTAGCTTTAAAAACTAATGGAACATGAAATTAATACTATTATATTGTGGTAGAATAACAGCAAAATGAAATTTATATCGCAGGTCGGTCAATTCCTGAAATTCCTGCTAGAGTTATGTTTCAAAAAAATCAAAAAGTTAATCCCATATTTCAGTTTTTTAATCTAGAATTGTGTATAAAATTGATGACTTATTTTATGCAAGTGTACTTAAGTATATACCCCATAATATGATGTTGTCATTATATAATGCGGAGAGCATATTCATAGACAATATAGTGAATAAATTATCTATTAGTTTTTGGAGTAATAATGTTTAAATACTTATATACTTTCTATATAATCTTACTTGGTACATATTACAAACTAATATCAATTAATTATATTTCAAATTTCAGTAGAAGCGTTAAGCTATTCAATAATTCTTATCTGTATTAATTTTTATATGGACTTTTAATAATGATTTATTGTATATTGAAAATGAAATATATTTCAGAATTAAATGGATTTTATATAGAGAAAAATGCATTATCAAAAACCATATTTTCTAATGCCTATTATGTATACACAAATTTATTCTTCCTTACAGGTCTTGCTTCAACATTAATATACAAACATATATGTATGTATGTGAAAAATGCTGTATACTAAGTAAATTTTAAATAAAAATTAAACATTATAAATTTATTTTGGCCTAAATTAATTTTAAAATAATAATTTTGCAATCAAGATTTGTGGTAGAAGATTTAAGAAAGATTTCATTGATTTTATATGGAAATCGAGTAAAAGAATATTTAAAAATTGAAGATAAAATTCTGATATTATTAAAATTTCTTTTTGATTTATCATCATAATTTTAACAATATATCAATGATAAAAATAAATTTTCAAGATGGAAAACAAGCAGAAAATATTCCATGCTTCAGAAAAACAAGAATATCCTTAAATTTATTTTGATTTTCCCAAAAAAACTTCAAATTCATTGCAATTGTTAAACAAATTTTGCATGGATTTGCATAATATTCTCAATATTTTATTTTATCATTTTATATAAAAGTGAATTTTCTGGGTAATTTATTCTATTTTCATTTTTATTAAGAATAACATACAAACAATCACATATAGAGGATATCCTACTTGCATTATTCTATATAATGCATGAAATCGTATTAAAAATTTCAATAGAAAATTTTCTACTTGCATTAATAATAATTTATATATTAATTAATTGTACCATTAAAAATAATCACTTACCATTAACATTTATTCTGATTATCTTTTTTAAACCATTACCAATTTCATTTGTTGCCTGACACATATAATAACCTTCGTCCGATTGTGTTGCAAAATTTAATATTAATGAATTATTTTTCATTGGTATTGGTCGAAAATCTTTTGATGTTTTATCTAGATATTTAGAAATACAAGCATAATAATTTTATTTTTATTATCAAATTTTAAAAAAAAATTTTTACACTAATTAAATAAATTTATAATATCATAATAGAATTTTAAATTAGTTATAGAAAAAAAAAATATTTATTATGTATAAAACATGAGTTTATTTAAAAATTTTTAAAATATTAAAAAGGAATTAAAAATGGAAATTAGAATCCAAAAAAAAATTATTTTATTTTATTTAAAACAATTTTCTAGAAAGGTGGTTATTAAATCACTAAAGGCTATGACCGACTGTGGCAAGCTTAAAATTGACTCAAATAGAAAAATAGACTCATATAATCGCAATTTGAATAAAAATCGACAGAAAATTATTTTTTCGATGGCCTATGAATCTAGACCTCTAAATGAATGTCATGCGAATTAAAAGAAAAATTCCAAATAAGTCCAAATTATTTATTTTTTTATTTTAAATGGGTGTAATTTTGAAAACAATTTTTCATAGTCGATACAACAAAGTTTGTAGATGTTGAGACACAAAAGAATTGCCACAGTTGTTGGTAACTCCAAAATAATTTAAGAATTAGTTGAAATTTTTAATGTAGAACAACATTATGGTATTTGTGCATTCGATACAATTAATTTTAGCTAGTTAGTTGCTATATAATTTTCTTATTTAATTTAGTTGCTAAAAAAATACTAAATGAGAGGACGTGAATCAAAGTTCCTTGCAATCTTGCTATCTTCCACAAATCACCTAAAGGTCATTACTTATTTTTAATATAAAAGATAAAATATTATTATTTTCTAATTTAATTAAATCATAAAATATGATTGTACTAACCTTGACCTTTAAACCATGTTACAACCGGTGGTGGATATCCTTCAGCTTCGCATAATATTGATATTGTATTACCAAGCATTATTGCCGTATCCATAGGTTCATAAGACCATCGTGGTGCCACTGAATTAAGATTATTATATTACATTTTTAGAATTTTTATTAAAATGGCGAATTTATTGTATAATTGAAAATATTATATAAAATTTTTTGCTTTCAAGATTTAGAAGATTAAGGATTTTTATTTGTATATTATTTTTGTTGAAATATATTTTTGAGCATTGTAGAGTCAATAATATTTAAAATTAATAAAAAATCCTAAATTTTAAAGAAAAAACTTTTGTAAATGACTTAAGGCTAACTTGTTTCAAATTTTCAAAAAAAAATTTTTAAATAAAGAAATTTAACTTGAATTTCAAATTATAATTTACATTGTATGTGGTTAAAATATACTTGAGTTGTAAGCATCCTTTACAAGATTTTTTACAAACTAAAGCAAATTATACAAGAACTTAGTTAACATAATTTAGAAAAATAAACTATTATGGAATAAAAGTAGACACAGATGTAAAATATCTAATCATTAATTTATTTCAATTAAAATTTTCTTATTTTAAAGTTAATTTTCAAAATTTATTAAAAAAAAAATTAGAGAAATTGAATGAGTCTTCATTTTCCTTTATATATGAATTTCCCGGTTAGGTACTTAAAATATTTTTTAAGTATCCACTCTATAAACATTTCAACAACATATAATGACAACAATACCAAAATAAAATAAAAATCCACATTCATTAATACATATTATAGGTATAAATGTAGAAGAGTTTTCAACTGTATACACATATGTTTGTAAATAGTATGTCACTAACTTAATCAGTACTTATAACATATATTATATACTCATATTATGTATAATATTCAAGGTACTCAAATATAAAAAGTACATACCTAAATATGTAGGTATATGTACCTACTTATTATATTATAACTATAAAATTTAAATGTAAACAACCTCTTTGTTAGTTTGTTTTTTGTTTTTTTTTTAATTCTATACATACATATCTATGTTAATTACCTCTTACTTGAAGATCTGCAGTGTAGTTCACCTTAGCAGCAGCATTTGATGCAAAACATGTATATCTTCCACTATGCTTTGAGCTAATATCCTTGAATACTAACAATGAGAAAAATTCTTCTTTTTTCTCAGTAACCTGAATCCATAAAATTGAAAAATCAAAAAATCACAAAAAAAAACAAAATGAGAATTTATGTTGAAAAATAAGAGAAAAAGTAAAATGTTCTAAATGAAATTTTTGACAAAACAATAATAATATAAAAAAAAAAAGCAAAAATTGAGAAAAAAAAGAAAATTAAAAATACAAATAAGAATCCTACACTTATATCTATGTACATACATACATAGACAGCTTTATTTGAAATTGATAATAGAATAATAATATAAAAACTCTCAGCTCAATTCACAACTAAAGAGACCCACCCTACCTTACAATTTTATCTCAATAAGCCAGTACATGACAATAGAATTTGAATATATATACATACGAGCTTTATATGCAATATAACAACAAAACAGTCTTATTTGTTTACTCCGGTACTTCACAACAGTCCATTTTCTATGTATTGATCGTTATCACAGAATGTAATAATAAAATGATAATTTAATATTTCAATTTATTTTATCAAAGAAACACACTCTTATATTTGTGTAAAGAAGAAAACATTGTTACAATTACAAAGTGTTTCACTAAAAAAACAACTAATGGTAAAAAATTTTGTAAGTTTAACAATCCCTACCACAATTTAATAATTAAAGCAACGTATAAGATTTGTTATCAGTTGGGTTATCTTTTCGCACCGGTGTGGATTACTTGTTGCCGTTTTTGATGATTTTATTGAAACTTGGTTTTTTTCAATAAGTGAGAAATGTGGTATATGACGAACATTGAAGAAGTAATATAAGAAATATTCATGAAAATTTAACCAGAAAAATTTGGATTAATGATGGTAATAATTATCAAAAATGAAAACTAGTTGTGGTACGTGTAGAAGTCAAACTAATCGTCATAGTTACTAATTTTTTTAAGAACCTATATTTTCATTTAAAGGATAATATTTAATTGTTATTTAGTTGTTATACAGATATAATATTCTTAGAAACAGAAAGCAACACAGTCACTTTTTAAAAAAGAAATCTTTATCTGGACGAAGTAATAAGTTGTAGTAGAACTTGTACAGAAATCAAAATCAAGATTTCTTCTCAGAAATTCTGAAACATAAAACGATCGCTTTTCATTTAATTCGAACAAAACTTGATTTTAGGATGGACTTGATGTGGGATGGAGGTTAAAAATTGTAAATATTTTTTGTATAGTTGAATTCTTCGAAAAATCTAAATCTTATTCTTTAATAGAGTGATAACTAAACAAATTGTGTTATTGTAGAAACGTAGTTACTTACGTATTATATGGTTACTTACGTATTATATACAATTATATGGGTAGGCTAGGTGCGTATTAAAGGTTTTAAAGGTAAAAGAATTAAAAGAAAGTTTCAATTATAATTATACGTCGTCTTATATGGTGGTTATTTTTAGAATGATTGCGGACATAATGCATATGCACAATTGTACATACTTATAAGAAAATCATAAATTATTTCCTAAAATTATTTTGTTTTTAAAAATTGTGAAATTTCTTTGAAATTTTTCAATTCAAATAAGGCATACAAAATTAATTTTATATTTCAATAAAATTTTGTGAAAAGGTGAAAATAAGAGATTTCTCCACAGATATTTATTGAAAATTCAAAAATCCTTATAAGTTTCTTCTTAACATAATCTGTTTTGATTTCTAAAATGAACACTAACTACGAATACCTGAATAAATAATATGGCACTCTGTATAAATAATATGGCACATATCTACTTATATTTTACTTAACACAATAATAATATACATACATACTTATATTCATGAAAAATTTACATGAATATGAATTTTGATGTATCCATTGTATTGTACATTTATTGGAAAATAAATTAAGAAATACAACACCCTTTCAATCTTCTCGTTTTACAAAAATTGCAGAAACCTTTCTTATATTTTTTCCATTTTCTTCCAAGTAAGTAACAAAAAAATTAAATAAAAATATCAAAAATGTTAATAAAAGAAGTCCTAATAAAATATCAACATTGTATTGTATGTCAATATAAAAATTAATTTAAACACACACATATACATAAACTTAACTCATTCATGACATTAAAAGACAAAATATACCTGTAAACTAATTGGAATTGGCATATCATCTTTTTTCCAACTAAAATATATTGGCATATCACCAGACGACACAGCACAAGTAATTTGAGCTCTACCACCCTCTTGTAAATTTTTTGGAAATTTAAATGGTTCAATTACAGGTGGACCTGAAAGAGTAAGAAAATATAAGAAAATTATTAATTAAAATATGTACATATATGGAAAATTTAATTACTAAATAAAAAGGACAAGTTCGAATAATAAAAACAATTAGGAAATGAGTTTGCATAATTTAAAACCCAATATTCTTCATTATGTAAGCATATAGCTAAGTTTTAAATATGAATTAATAAGATCCGGTTTAGAATTATTGGATTTCAATTTATACTCGGCATTAAATATACCAGATCGGTGTATAGTGCTTATCATATGTACATTTAATAATTTTTTCTTATGAAAACTGTTAATGTGTACACAATTAAAATTATAAAATCGGAAAGTCACATCAATTTCTACTGATTATACCCTTACGAACGTAAGGGTCTGAGTTATAAATCCAAGTATATGTTTTGGATAACTTTCAATTCTGAGTCGATTTACCCATGTCTGTCCGCCCGTCCAACGATAATTCAAAAACTAATTAAGGTAAGCTCACCAAATTTTCACAAATGATGTATAACAGTGAAAGACAGAACTTTATTTAAATTGAATTTGATCGAGGCAGTGGTTCTGGCAGCTATACAACTTCAGAAGTTATTTGGCTAAATTTCAGATATTATAAGATTTTAAGAACTAAAATTTCCCACAAGTAAATATTATATCGGGGCTCTTATATTTAATAAAATTAGTTGAAATTTTCTTGACTTGTGGTGGTACCAGGCATACCACTTCGAAAGGCATTCGGTCGTATATTATGAAATTTATTGAAATTACAGTGCTGAAATTTTGCATAAGCGAATAAGGTAATATACACAGGGTGGTGTTTCAGAAAGGTATACTACAACATATACCATTGATTAGATAATCGAAACTGGGTAATACTTTTGTTCCAAACTTAATGCCAAATCCCAAGGGTTTCCGAGTTCCAGGGATATTAACGAATTTTTACGAAACTTTCACTTATCCAAGTTTTTTTGATTATAACTTCCGTTCTGAAAAAGATAGGAACTTCAAACCAACAGTTTCTGAAAGGTCTAGTAGAGGGCTTCAAATAGACAGGCTATTTGATTCTGAATTTTAAGTATTTTCGGAATACCAAGCATTCGAACTTTAGAAAAAATGAAATTTTTCGCTTGCTTTATTTTTTCAGTTTATTCTAACTAGGTAATTTCGTAAGAAATTGGTCGAACCGTTGAAATATTTTAATAGAAATTTGCCTAGCTACTTAAGCTTTAATTTAAATCCTCAATCATTAAAAAAATTTTTATGGTACAGAAGATATAGCCATTTCTATGTCAAGATTTTAAGACCCTATTTTTCACTATTTTTGATTTTTATTAATTTTAAGCGCTGTAATTACCAACTATAATTAATTTTTTATGACAAGAGTCACTTAAAAAACCAATTGACATTTTTAATGTTTTTATTGAAAATTTATAACAATAAAATTAAAACGAAAAAATTGATTTTAAAAAATTTGAAATTTTTGAAAAGAAAAACTAGAATTTTGTATTACGAAAAAACAAAAAAAATCTAGTAATCAAAAAATTTTTTTTCGAAACTTTTCTTGGTAAAAAAAATTATAGGTTTTTAATTTTCGCCAATTTTTGTAAAGAATAGTACCTATATGGTTTGAAATTTTTAAATGCATTTTTTTCACATTGGGTGCAATTTAAAAATTTGAAAAAAATATTTTTGAAATCTCGACACCATTTGGCATCTGAAGTTATTAAAATTATCCAGTTCGAGCGAATTTTAAAGACATACCATACAAATTTCGACATTTACTCTAATAGATTTTTTTTCTCAATAGGAAAATTTAATTTTTTTAAACAAAATGGAGTTTGTAAGTGATATGGTAGGTACATTACGAATTTAATGAATAATTAATAAATAATTTAATGGAATTAATAAATTTTAAACAAATTTCTAGAAATACTAAAATTAGTGTACGGTTGATACCACTAAAGAGGTGTTCCAGTAAAGCAATTAATTTAAAATATGCGAGTGAATAGAAATAGATTTGATAGAAGAAAAACATCAATTGCCGAAATCAAGTCGTTTTATCTTAATCCGTCGGTCTCAGCGATACCTCAAAAGGACATTAAGTTAGGCTAACTAAATTTTAATCAATCGCAAAGAATGGTTGACGTAAGAGCCGCGAGATATGCCATACAACTCTCAAAACAAATCGGCAGTAAGTCACGAACTATAAAACTTATAATAGTATTCAAATTTCGCACAAACAAGAATGTTAATTGAGCCACTATTTTAATAAAATCTGATTGCCATCTTACTCCTCTGTCTGCAATAAATTTAAAACAATATTATTGCACCTTAAAATGCATCGCAAGCTCACTAAAAGTGCCAAGATTCTAAAAAATGTTATTTCCATAAACATTTTCATATGCGAGTATTGGAAATCATTCGTATAGCTGACACAGAAATGGCACAGTGAAACCTATCTCGTTTAAGGTGGCAGACTGTAACCAAACCATTAGGTGGTTACTTTATTATAAGAGAATCCTTAGATCAAGAACGGATTAAAGTAATTAAAAATTTTCATATATTTTTTGATAAGAAAATGCCATTAACTGTCTCAGCTTAAAAAAATTAATGGCAAATTTTTTGACAACTTTTATCATTTGAAAAGCTTATTTCATTTGAACCTTAAAATCCCTAAATCATGTAGATCAGTGAATAGTTTTCAGTCAGTCAGACCTTCATAATATGTTGTTACCATAATAATTAAACTTAAACTTCTTAAATTCCTTAAATTTAAAAAATAATTCGATGACCCTAAAAATTTCACAAAATTCAACTCTGAAAATGCATTAAAGATTTTAATATTTAATTTTTCTATTGCTATAAAAATATATTTGGAAAACATATTAAATTCAATTTAATCCTTTTCTTTACTCCATCGGAAGTATAATGGCCTGATATTTTTGACAAAAAACCTTTTCTATGTATTTTAAACAAAGTATATTTAATGCTGTGCATTTGTGATTTTTCTTCGAATATTCAAGTTAAAGTACAAAATATAAACTCAGATTTGCAGACTATTTGTTTTTTTATTTTATTTTCAATTATTTCAATTTTTTAATTTGGAAAAGAATTGAACAGGAAGTCAAATAAAATTTTAGCAACAAAAGGATTCAAATGCATTTCATTAATTTTAATATATTAAAGTACTTATAATTGTTAAGATAAATAATAAGTAGAGGGTAATATTAAATTAGTTTCCGGATAAGTATTATGCTTTTGGGTAAACAAAAAAATTGTTCTTAAAGCAATTTGAATAATATGGAGACTTGATGAAGAATTGCAGCACAATTAGAGAATTTTACGTTCATAAAAATTGTATTCTGTTTGTAGTCAACGGAACTGTTACTAAACCGATTAATTTCTATGTTTCTAGATATTTGCCTTAATTCAAATCTCTATTACGTGTTTTTTGATTCAAAATTGACCAAAATTTGAAATTTTAAATACTTTATAATTAGGAGTAAAAATCTGTTATGTTGGACAAATTAATTTTGTTAAGAATAAATAAATTTTTTTCTTTATTTCATTTAGTAATGCTAGTTATCCAATAGATGTCGAAACTCTGAAATTATCTAAAAACTAATGATATTGCTGACGGACATATTATTACGGCATTTCTACAGAACAATGTTCAAGTTGGTTATTTTTTTATGAAAATTTCAATACTAAAGGAATCAATATTTAAATTGAAAAAAAAAAAACATCAAATGTGACGGCTGAAAATTAATTTATTTCTTCTCTTTTATTACGAGAAAAAAAAAGCGTAATTTTTTTTTTATAATTTTGCTTTTCTTTTCATTACTTTTATTTTTATCACCTTCGACTCTCTACTTCTCTTTGATTTTTTCCTTTCCGTTTTTTTCTTTTCATTTTATTAGCAAAACTTTTTTTTCAAAACTAATAATTGTAAGTAAGTATGTAAATCTTAAATGTTTTATATACTTACTATTAACAGTTAATTGAATATCACGTCTCGCTTCTTCACCCATTCGATTTTTTACAATACATGTGTACAATCCAGCATCTCTTGTCGAATCAACTTGTTTAACAAGAAGATATCCACCTTGTTGGACACTTGAAACGATATAATGAGCATCTGAAATTAGATAAGAAAAAAGAAAAAAAAATTATCAAAATTCGACGATAAACCCCTAAGCAAAAAAAAAAATAACAAAATAATGGAAATTTTCTTTCTCTTTCTAATATTAAATTTTTAACATTTTGATTTACCTGTAAAAAAAGAAAAAACTATAAGAATGATAATAGGAAAAAAAAATAATGACGGGAAAAAAATTAATTAAAAAAATTTTCAATTAAAAAATAAGAATAAAATCTAACGGAAAAATTGTAGACATGAGAAAAAAATCAAAAATGAGAGGAACGGAACGAAATGAAATTGAAATTAAACTGATAATGAAATCGAGAAATAAAATGTTAAAAGATTTTGAACAATGAAAAAAAAAATTCAAACCAAGGAAACTACGAAATAAGACGAACTAAAATAAAAAGAATGAAAAAATAAAAATTGTCGAAATAAAAATGAGAAAGAAAAATGGCCAACAACCAAATAATAACGATAATGAAAAATTCGTCTAGAATATTTTTCTTTTTTCTTCTTTTCTCTTCTCTCTTTTCTCTACTTCATCCTCTTTTTCGTATTCCTTACTTGATGTTAATTCCTGGTGTCCTTTTTCCCAACGTATTTTCTCTATTGGATAACCAGAAAATGGGCAATGAATTATAATATCATCTCCAGCAACTGCTTTTATCGGACCAACTGCTCTAACATATGGCGGACCTGTAAGGAAAATTAAAATAATCATTGATACAATGGAAAACATTCAGATCAAAGGATTCAAATGCAAACAAACAACAACAAAAAAAAAAAAAGATTCAAAAACAAATTTTTTTTTTTTTTTTTAATTCAGAAAATTTTTATTAACAATAAACAAGAAAAACAATAATAAAAACAAAAATTAAACTACAGTTATAACGAAATGTTTATGTATGTACCATTGTTTTCGTAAACAGTATTTTTATATGGTAGGTATACATATGTAAAGGAAAATCAGTAAATTAAAAATGACTTGAATTCATAATTAAAGTTCAAGGATGCTTTATTGCATTTGGCTTTTAATTATAAACAATCATTTAACAAAAATATAAATAATTCTTGAAAATGTCAATTATGTTTATTTGTGGTAAACAATATGACATTCATTCGAATGCGTATATTTGTTTATGTACACATATACTTACATACATAAATTATTATGCAAGGATATGAGTATAAATACTTATACATATTATGATTTTATTGGTTTTATATTAATTGAAATTTTTATTAAGTGCCAGGAAATAAGGGAGGAAATTGATATTCCATATTTCATGTCAAATATTTTAAAAATCATGTGAAAATTCTTTAAAATTTATTTACAAAAAATAACTGTCAAATTATAAATAATTTAAAGGATTATAAGCTTTAAATTTCAATTATCTACATACATATATATATGTATGTACATCAAATAATATTATTCGCAAAAAAAAAATCAATTATTATTAAATATTTTGGTTGTTTTTAAGAATTTTATAAAAATATAAATTGAATTTTTTATTTCCAATTTAAAAAATATGTGCCACTTGTTTTAAGCATAGAAAAACTTAAATTAGAAAATTGGTGTCTTCTAAATGGCGAGGCTTAATTTCATTTCAATTACAAACCAATTCAAAATATTTTTAACGCAATTTTCTTACAAATTGAATACGAACAAAAGTATTATGTGGAAAGACAAATAGAGGCAAGTGCACTTTAGGGCAGCTTTCATATAACATCAATGGGCAACAGATTTGGGAAGCAAAAAGAAGAATGTAATTTATGTTAATTAATTTTTAAAAGTATCCCTTTGAGCAATTCATCGAATTTATAAAATATTTTCAAAATCATACAGTCTTGCATGATCGCGGATTCGGTAGAATTTAGCAATAATCTCATTAATCGCATTGAATTTGGATAATTTGCATTAGGAACTTGAAAAGTTCACGCTTTAAGTTGTTTTTACTCTTTCCAAAACTCTTAATTCTACTACATCTTTAAAGACGTTAGAATTATATTGGGTATTTTACGTTTGCTGCTGTAAAAATTCAGTTCGTTTATGGTTTAAAAATGATTCTTGCACAAAAGTGAATGTCGGCAATTTGGACAAATTATTTCGTAAATGTCCTTGCAGATAACTACAAGAGAACCTTGTTTTTATAGTTGAACTTTTTTTTTCAATATATTGAAAAGTGTTGCTTCGATTGCTTATGCAGTATATTTAGAATAAAACATAGTTGCGATTAAAATTATGAAAAATTTTAACCACAGAAGTGGGATAGATTAAAATCTAAAATAGAATTATCAAATGGAGAAAGCGAGTCCACTGCCAGATAGATATCAATCTAGTACAACTAAACAAAAACGTAATTTCTGTTAATGCCTAAAACATCCTTCCACAAGAAAGAATTATTGCCAGTATTCGTTTGAAATTGCTTTATAGCCACAAATCTCATACAGATTATATAATTTCATGACCAATTTGTGGTTATACACATTTATCATAACAGAAAAAGTCGTTGTTAATTATAAATGGCCAACTATCAGAAAACAAACCGCCTGACTTAATTTTAGTTGTAGTATTATACTAGATTTTTATTTATTGCAATTGTCTCTGTTTTTCTACCGAATCTTATGTATTTTCTCCTACTCTTATGTATTTTCTTAAAAAACTTAAACACAAACTCGTGTTATATTAAGTGTACGAAATAAAGTTACTGGTTTGAGTATAAACACTAAGGTTAATTTAGTTTTAATATAAAAATGAAGCCTGGCAGCAATGGCTGAATAAATTTGTTTAAAATTATAGTTCCGATTATAAAAATTTTCTAAAACAATCTAAAATTTACGTACGATATTAATCAACTCTTAAATCTACTATAATTTTACTGTATAAATTTTTAATTAATGTTGGAACGAAGAGTTCATTTCTATATTCTTGTTTGCTTTTTTAAATCAAAGCATTAAAATAATTTTTAATGTAAACATTGCCGTGCTTTTTAAGAAATTTCGCTAATAAATTGAATTTTATAAAACTACAATGTTCTAATAAAATAATTGACAGAATATTTGAAATAGAAGAGGAATTTTTTTTGAATCTGTTTATTGATTCTTCTTGCATTAGAATTTTTATTGAATCGCAAAAATTGCAAATATCCTTTTAATTCCAATATTTTTTTTATTTACTATCAGTTTTACTGTAAATGCACTACCAAAAATAAAATTACCAAAAATGGGAAAAAATTTATTTCTGATGCCGACATCAAAGTTGCAGTACAAAAATATAAATTTGGGTATAGATCACATGTACTCTCGCAATATTTGAATTGTGATTGAATGTGTTAGTAAAATTGATGATTTTTTTTTTTTTGGTTAACGTATACATCAAACTAAAGTGCATGTATTATGTGTGTTTAAATAGGCATTTATATAATGCACAAGTGTATATCTTTATGTATGTATATGTATCTCATTAAAATGAACTATCAAGATAAATAAATCCCAGTTAAATTACAATTTTGCTTTATCCTGTTAACAAAAAGAAAACAACTGGGAGCTGGTCGATGCTCGAATACTATTGTATGTACACATGTATTTACGAATTCTGTTGTATGCAATATTGATGTTTGAATTTTTTTTTATGGACAAATTGCTTTCATTCTATTACTATTAATCTATATCAAAATTTCCATACATAAACTTTGCATAGAATCGAATATAAAATTTTCCCGTTTGTTGACTTTCAACGAGGGTATTCTTATTATGTAAACATGAAATTCAGTGCTGCTGCAGTATTTGCTTAATATTTGGCGGTTTGTTAGGTGTTCTATTTATGTTAGGTTTTGATTTTTCGATTTTTCCAATTGATTTTGATAAAAAACAGCGTGCAAAATTTAAGCTGTTTTATATTGAAAATTGCATACTTTTAGGTGCACTACGAATTATTCAACAATTATAATAATAACACAATACAACCTGACATATTTTAAATTTTCAAAATATAAACAAAATGTTTTCACCTTTTATTTGGTAGAAATCAGATTCGTAAAGGATAAGTTAGTCTAAACACTAAATTAATATTTTGTATACAAACGTTCTTGTGCGATCACGTAAAATTTTCATTAGAACCTTCTTCTAAATTCAAATATTTTATATTCTACATTTCCAAAATATATAAGTGAAATTTTTTTCTTTGTTAACATTAAACCGAGAAAACTTTAACACAAAAAAGTTACGGTCCAAAATCAATACAAATTGATTTGATCGTTAGAAATTGTCTTATATAAATTTTGCATGTACAATAATGTACAAGGATTATTTGTGAGAATGTATTATTTCTATGTCAATAGTCTACAAAAGTACAACATACAAGAAAAAAATATACATAATTTATATGCAAAATGTACTATGAACACACTCTTGCACACATACATACCATATATTATTCAAATTTGAATTGCAGAATCAGGATACCAAAAAGTTTTATGCCTGATATTTTATCATCTATATGTACATTTTAATTTATATTCATTACAAAAACTTCATATTATGTATACGCATGTATGTAAATTGAACAGTGATGCCTATTTATATCGAATATATCAAATATATATAACAATAGACTGCAATACATGCACATATATATATATATGGAATTGCAACATTAATAATGATTTACATAATATTTTTTAAAATAAAATGAAGTTTTTTGATGAATACTAAAAAAAAAATGTATTACACAATAAGTATTGTTTGCATCAGGATTTTAATATATTTTAAAAAATATTTTTAATATTTTTCTTCCGAAATTTTCAAATTTACACTGCATTAATAATCAAAGGAAACCCAAAAGTATGCAATTTTTGAAGAATTGAAGAAGAACAACTTAATTGCAAGCAACTATTATCGCTTCAAACTAATTGAAGAAATAAAATAATTAAAATTATTTTATTGAAAAAAATGCAGATTTAATTATAAAAATTAAGATTTTCATAATAATTTCAATAATTACAATAAAATATTTGATATTTCTCCTCCATGTCGTGTAAATTTTACATAAAAACTCAAATAAACTCGTTTCAAAAACTCAAAAGGTCACAATTTTTAGGTACAAGGTTTTTCAGGTATCAGTAAACCGAATTTCAATTTTAAAATTAATTCATTATTTCTGTAAATTTATTAAAACTATAACACACACATTTGCATTTATTCTACCACACTCTCGCATTTTTTTCACTATTATTCTCTCTACCAATAAAATTTTAAATACCATTCTAACACAAAATTATATTGAAAATCTCCTCAAATTCTCTAAAAATTTTCAAAAATCCATCTTTTTATAAGGTTTTCTAGCAAAATTTCAATTTGATAGAAAATTTTGCTAACATTGCTATTTGCAATGCTGTCCTATATTATATAATATTGATTTTATTTAATCCATTTATTTAGAGATCAATTCATTTAGAATTTTAATAAATTAATTATTCCTTCCAACCAAAGAAAGATGAAATGCATAGGATTTTCTATAATTTAACTTATAATCCTAAAATAAGTGAATTAAATTTTAATATTTTGTTGGCATATAAATTTATCAAAATAGAAAATCCTTTTTGAAATAAACTGCAAAGGGAAAATAACTAACATTTCTTTAAAAATAATGGTTTGTGTTCTTGATTTTTAGCACTTTTCCAAAAATTTTGAAAAAAATTGCTTATTATTTTCACTCATTCCGCCCATCCGTCCGTCCGTGGACATATTTGCAAAACATCTGCACTCTTGAATATTAAAAAACTGAAATTGCATATGCACATGGATCTTTACTAGAAACTTATTTCAGTAGAAGAAAATTTTTGACTATCTCTCTCCCTCTAAAAGTTACAGTACCACAACACTATAAAAATGCCATTTTTTGATTATTTATTGCAGCGAAACTAAAAGCATTTTTCTAATTTTACAAACGCAGAAAAAGAGTGGCTGGTTTTTTCTACCACGCATACCATAGCTGTTAACTTTTTAAAAACAAAATGGCCGTTAAAATTTACCGTTATCTAAAATCTGTTTTTTTCCAAATTTCTGATATCGTTTTCCTTCTAGACCGCTGGTTGTAGCAATTTAAAATTTTAGCAGCTTTTGACACTTACAAATTTTATAATTTCGTTGCAAGAAAGCTTTTTTCCACCTCCACCCCCTTTCAAGTTATCGCTTTTCGAAATTTGAAAAATTTTAATTTTCGGCACTTCATATTTCCGCAACTGCAAGTTTTTCCGAATTTTTATAAATGCATTATATTTTTAATGGCAAATTCCTTACCATTAAAAAATATAATTATATTAACGCAACTCTAAATATTTGTTTTGTCTTATTTCAAAGAATGCCTACATTTTTCATCCTAAATGTATGCAATCTCTGAAATATGATTGAAAGACCCACAGGTATGAAAGTTATTTTAATAATATAGCACGTAGCTAGATTGTTTTTAAAAGCATTATCTTAACTTATGGAAGCAAAAGGGTTTCATTACAAACCATTGGTTTGACTCAAATTTATATTTTTTTTAGATAGGGCTGTATAGATGTTTGGTTTTTTAGAAGAATTTTATGGTAAAAAATGTAGGTCAGAATGAACACTTTTTTAAAAGAAATTTATAAACTCTTGATTATAAATTTTAGAATTTTATGTTTATTGAATAATTTCTGCGCAAAAAATCTTCACAACAAACAAAGCTAATGTTTCGGTAATGGCAATAATTTTGTTGCATTCATTTAACTCTCTTTACTAAGAGGTAAAACATAGCTTCCGCTATGTTCTTTTATGCATCGGCGTAATCTAAAATCTTTAACTTTAGAATTTAAAATTTTCTTAATATTAAGAGCATTATGAAATTTCTTTAACATTATACGGTTTGCATTCCAATTTTATAAAATTTTGAACAAAAACACACAATTCGGCAGTTCCGCCCAATTCAACTACGAGAATTGTTTTATAAAAATTCTTAGATCAATTTGTAATTTAAAACATTAATACTATTATTTCAAAAAATTATTACGCATAGTTACCATAAACATTTAAGCGGGCCGAATGCTCAACATTTCCCATTGTATTTGAAGCAATACATTTATATAAACCGCCATCATCTGGTCTAACATGCGATATATTTAAGTGACTTATTACATCACCATTTGTGTCAACAAATTGCCCAATGGCTACTCTTAAATGCATTGAAATGTCGATTATTGGTTGAGAATCCAAAAGCCAAGAGAACTGTAAATAAATGTAAAAATAAAATAAAAATAACAAGTTATCAATTTTTCCATTATTTATAATACAATTCAAGTATTTATGAGGAAAAGGAAAAAATTAAATGTTATAACTTATAAGGATCTTAACATACTGTAAATTATAATATAAGTATAGAATAAAACATACACAAATGATGAGAGCACAACGTAATCGACCGCATTGCAATATCTTCGAATAAAAGCATTTGCATTTAATGTGTGTATAACTGAGTTTTGCTATTCGATCTACCATTTATTCTGACAGAATGTACACAATACCTTTCTTTTTGAAAATAATTTCATTGCTGGAAAGGGAATTCTCTTTTCTTTCATACACGTAAGTAATGTGTATGTTAAAGGAAGCAAGGAAACAAAAAGAAATAAGGATTTGCAACGGAATCTCTCTTCAAATAAAATTGAAAAATTTTCATTTTCAAGTATCAATTTCAAGGATCATAAAATTGTACAGAAAGGAAATTATTCTATTTTATGAAATGGATTACTTTTATTTTTTTGTTCTAAAGCATTACATTATAAAATAAATATATTTTATGTAATTCCGAACACTTGAAAGAAAAAAAAATTAAATTGTTGAACCATTCCACACGGTAAAATCTTACATAGAAAAACGAGTTTGTGGGAAAACTTTTAGAAAGTTCCAATATAGCATGAATTGAGAATCAGAAAAAAGAATCATTCTTAATTATAGCACTTCGGGATTCTTATTTAATATATTCATAATTATCAAAATAAAAAGGACCTATTTTAAAACGTTCTTTATTTGTCAAAAATCTATTTTGAAGAAAATCAATGCAAAATCTTCTATAAACCCATCACAGCCTCTGAAGCAATAATGTTAAAACTTGATTTCAATACAACTCCAGCAATTATACATTCATATAGCACTTTATATACTTATTCTACAAGCAAGCCAAGCTTACAGACCTTGTGAATTTAAAAATTTCTTGGACACATTTACGAAAACCAGAACAATAAAACTATCTATAAATAATGTTATGGACTGTGTAACATTTGTGCTTCGCGACCCGTTTATCGCAAGAATATATTTTTGTGATCTCTAACATAAGGATAAAGTTATTAATATGCTGAGAAAGGATAAATCAAAATATACTAATTTTTCTTGCCAAAAAATATTGAACCAGAATGTTTTTAGAGCATAAACCCAAATTCGAGTTAGTGAACGAATGAAATATTCCTCAATCAGCAGAAACAAGTAATTTACATGCAACCCAATTTATTATACTGCCTTTAGACTTCTATTCTTACCAAATTATTAATTTCCGGACCTTTACAAAGAGAATTTTGTAGGCGTAAATTGTCGCATAAATTTTAATAACACCGGAAAATTAAGTTTTCACAGTCCCCGTAATTGCTTTAGCGTTTCAACCTGAATGGGTTATAAAGAGTAAAGGTAACAATCAAAAGAGTAATGTTTTTCGCATGCATTATTCAAGAATTTATCAGTAATTTTAGTACGAAGTAGCGCTGATATCTATTCGAAAACGGATAAAACTAACTTGAATGCAAAATAACATTTACAATGAAACCAAAAAAAAGAAAAAATAATGCATTCAGGAAGAACGGCTGCAGATTTCTGTCAAAAATCAATGACCAAACTCGTGATATTTAAATAAGATCACATTATTGTTATATACTTCTTTAGCAGTTTTACAACTGAAACAAAATTTTTTCTAGCTACTACAGTAAATTTTGGCATATTAAAGATTTGCTGTTTCGATTGAGTTTTATTTGTTATACCTATGTGCAAAAACAACATTCAAGTACATACAAAGCTTTTTCTACAACCCTGTAATATTTAGGCTATGTGATCTTAAATGGTTACGCACCCAAAAGGTTCGAGAAACCAGGTGTTATAAAATTTAACAAAGAAAAGCGATAAATAAAATTTTTTTTTAGAAATGAAAAAAATTACAAAAACATAAAATTTATTTATTTTATTTTAATTTATATTTTATATTTACTTGAGGCGGTGGTGATCCACTTGCAGAACATTTAAGTGATATATGTGGTCCAGGACGAACATTTTGTTCAATAAATGTATATATTAATTCCGGTACAGTATCTAAAAGAAAAAAATTCCATGATGTTATTGCAAAAAATTTAAAAAATCATACTTAAAAAAAGAATTTCTTACAAGTACTTTTCCTAAAAATTTTGTATTTAGTAAATTATGTAAAATATGATGAAAGTATGTAGATGTATTACGAAGTTTATATTTTAGTCAATATTAACTATGTTAATCCAAAAAATACTAAGTACATTCAGATAAAAATTAGTTTTGCGTTTGCATTTCTAACATAGAACTTAAATAACTTTAATAATAAAATTGGCCTCTGTGAAAATTTAAATTTTGATAATTTCTTATCGATTCCAGTTGGCATGTACAGATTTAAAACTGATTGTCAAGCATTCATATGTTTTCAAAAGTTTGTCAGTTCTTTGGAATTATGAAAATTAATTTCATCGCCGCTTAAAATTATAAGAAAAATGTGCCATATTTCAAATAATTAAGAATTTCAATTGATAAATTAATTGCGCTCACGTCTATTTATGTCCCACAATCAAAACTTATCATGTAAAATTTTTGGATAAAGAAGAGTTTATAAAACTATTATTGAATTCAAACTTGTTCGATATACGTTAACATGTTGTTCGAGCATACTTTTTGTTGAAATGATATTTTTACGATTTTGTAAATGAAATTTGCATCATTCAAAGCGTTTATCAATGGATCCTACTCAAATTGGTTTAATACTGTGTTACTCAATATAATACTATAGCTTGTAAATACTGAACTGTTGAATCGTGTATCAATACGCAATTATTGCAATTTCGATGTTAGGAGGACTAACATTCAAAAACTTGAAAAAGCATTTATTTGTTCTAAATATACTGGAAAACTCAAATCATTATATTTTATTTCAATATAATAATACAAGCTTTTTGCATCTTAAAATATATAAGGACACTCTAAAATAAAATATGGAATTCTTTAAAAATACAAAAGGATATTATGAACAAACAAAAACATTTCATTATATTTTAATTCTATATCCTTTCAAAGATATTCTGTTTCTCATATGTGAAGAATAAATTATAAATTGATTTACGAAAGCAAAAAATTCTTTTCGATTTTCTTCATAATTGGAATAATAATTTCATTTGAATCATTATTGTGGGATAAACACTTATGAAAACTGTTATTAAATTATTGAAATATTCTAGCTCTTATATTTTTAAATGGATTCCATAATAAATTATTTTAATCTACAGGAATTTTATTGAGAAAAAAAATATGTTTTTAATAGTCTTTGTGATAGCATTTTGGAAATTTTTTTAAAGACATTGGTTTGTACCTGTATACCTTAATGTAAAAGGTTTTTAGAAATGGTTTTAAAGTACTTATAGTGGTGATCTATTTTATTTCTATTTTGAATATTGTGAAGTGGAAATTAAATGACTTTAAAGTTTTGAATGAGGAACTCTCATATAAAACACAAAATAACTGAAGTAATAAATAGTATTTATAAAACTTATTAAAGATGAAGTGAGCATATTTCATTTGGGAATCGTCCCCAAACTGGCAACATTACGAACCTATAGAATTTGCAAAATTAACTCAAAATAGCAATATTTGCGTGTGTAAGCTCTTTATTTTGAGAAGGTTTACTGGACCCAAAACCAAACTGAATTGCGAAATACAGCGAAAGTACACATTTCAAACGATAGGTTCAAATTTATTTTTGCAATATCCCAAAACTATAATTTTACAGATTTGTGTTTGCCATTGCAACGACCACTTAGTTGTAAACTTAGCATAATTTAGAGAAAGAGTTCTAATAGTATAATATTAAGGTAAGTAGGCAATTATTTTTCAAATAACTATCATCCTAATAAAATGTACTCCGAATTTTTACAATTTTTACAAATGATTGTTTTATTAAGTGAGTCACAAGTCTACTACGGCACATATAGCATTGCAATGTTTGTCTATAGAAACTGAATTTGCACTCGTTTCAAAATGAAGAACATTAGAGGTATTTGCAGCTATTCGAAAAACATTTACATAAACATTTTACATGAAATTGTGTAAATAATAAAAATGTTATCACTTCAATTATTAAGAATTTTACATATAATTAAGTAAAAGTTAATTAATGAAAGGAAATTTGAATTTTAAGATAAATTAAATTTAATTGAATATTTAATGGAAACTAATTAACTAAAGAATTTATTTTCATTAGGAAAATCAATTTGCATTTAAACCACAACTGACTTAATTCATTAATTAAAAATATGTTTTTTCGCTTCAATAATTCTTTCGCACTATAAATTAGAAATGGGGTATTTCTAATTTAATAATTAACTTATTTGATTCACTCACACTTCACTTTGAAATATGGAGAATTTTTATTGTTGGTCAAAATAACTCAGAGGTATCTACGAATATACAAATTTGGGAAATTATCATTCATTAAGCATTGTCCATTGCATTGAGTATTTGTTCGTACAGTTCGTATTATGGAATGCTCCCAACAAGAGTGGCATTTCACGCTCATAAAGTTTTATTCCTCAATGAAAAAAACCAGTCACTTTGTAAGATAACTAAGTGCATTCGAGGTTTGGGTTCTAATTAACTCAAACTTTCTTGAATTTCGCATGGGCCAAAACAAATTATGGGCATATGGATTGACGTGTTCTGTGGCAATTTATACATAGATCAGTGTTACGCCTCGTAAAATATTTTATTTACTAAAAGAAAATCGTTTTTTAGTTTTATGAAAATTCTAATAGGTTTTAGAATACTTGTGTAAAATGATAGTTTCTTTAATCAAAACTTAAATTGAATAAAATTCATTTAGTATAATATCCTTTCAAAAATCCTTTTCAAGATCCTAGAGTAGCGTTACGAACCTAATTACAAATTTATCATACCATTGAAATTATTTGATTATCATGCAAATTGTATCCAGAAATTTCATAACTTTTAGAATTAACAATTTTTTTTGTGGTATTATGTCTAATAACATACAAACATACTACCTGTACATTTATTATAACAATTGATTTTTCAACATTATTCAAATGATATTAATTGAAATTTGAAAGATTATTTATTAGGTATGAGAAAAATTCCTAATTTTCAGAAAATTTTCAATTGTGGTCAAAATATATAGACAAATTAATTAAAATGATTTGCATTTTATTTATTTAACTATTCAAACAGAATATAATGTATTGTACATACATACATAATAATGTAGGTATAAACCAAAAAAAAAATAAAAAATAAAATGACAGCCGCATTGGCAGATTGCAACTATATCATATTAAAATTTCCTGGTACACATTCATGCGTTTAATTTAATATTTCAGAAGCAGACTATGTTAACTCTAAGTCTATGATGAAAATGAATTTTAAATAATGTTTCAACTCTTACGAGTTCATCGAGTATATCATGAATCTAGGCAAAATATTAAACAAGTTTTTGGTATAATTTAATATTTTCAACTACAAACTGACCACCATAAAACTAAACAGAACTTCAACTTTTCTGAATATCCAAATTTTTATAGATATTCGATAACTTTAAATTAAGAATCCAATTTGTGACGATAAGGCAAATTTAAACTAAATAATAGGGTGAACATAGAGCTGAGTCGGTTTACCATAAAATTGAAATTCAACAATATTTTGTATATTCTCCTAATTTGAATCTATAATCCGATAGAGCAAAATTTAATTCAATTCAAGCAATTTTTCAAGAAGAAATTGTCAATTTTTTGAACAACATAAACGAAACTAGTTCAAAAAATGTTTGGTATTTCAATTAAGAATGTGATTGCGTCATTTTGATTCTAAATTCTGTATTTTGTAATAAATTTTTAATACCTTCAAATATTGTTGCCAAACTGGCAATATTACGAATCTATAGAATTTTCTAAATCAACACAATATAGCAATATTTGTGTTTACAAGCTCTTTATTTTGACAAAGTCTCATGTGTGTTTCAAAACCAATTTGAAAGTGACAATTTCAGGAATGCCTGTTTAAGTTAGAAACTTAGGTTTATCCAAAAATTATTCAGTACATGCCCAAATTTTTCTTTAATGCGAAATTTTATTTAGAAAGTTTGTTTCAAAAACAATTTTTACTGAATTGAATTTTCATATTGTAATTCGAGTCATTTTAACTTTTGAAATTAAGGCATTCCCAAAAAAAATCGCAACCATTTTAAATTTTTGAAGTTTATCTCATAAAATATTATTAATAAATTCTAAAGCACTTATATATAATACTCTCACTTCAATGAGTAAAAGAATTAGAAACTTAATCTAAAGATTTCTTAATTTTTTCAATAACGTTATATATGCAAATACATACAAACATAGTTAAAATGCTTTGATCAAATTTATTTTGATTTTTTAAAATTTCTTATTTCTATTAAATTTTAAATTAATAATTTATTATACAATATTTATTTGATTTATTTTCATATTTCTATACATATAATGTATGTATGTATAGAAAGCTTATATTTAGCACATATAAATTCAAATTATTTTGATGACCTAGATAGAAAAGATTATTGAGGAAAATTTCCAAATTTTAATTTAAAATTTATTTAATTAATGATATTTTTCAGTACCATTCAAAATTGATTGTAAATAAGGATATACATATATGTACATATACATAAATGTGTACATATTACCACACAAACGTGTTTATGTACCTATGAATATAGATACGTACATTAATATTGCTATATTAATTATTCTTATATTAGAAACCATGTATGTTATGCAAAATCAGAATTTTATTTTATTTGCTGGAATATTATAATAAATTTTATTAAAATTTTTGAGGTCAATATTTATTATATTAAATTTTAGTTTATCAAAAATTATAATCACATACATATATATAAATATTTAATTAATTTCGTAATGTATTCGAAAAAGATACCTGCTGTGGGAGTTTATATCATAAGTACCTCGCGGTCCGTAGGCAATAAAAACGCTTACTCATATTTATTATACTTGCCTGGATATTATTCACGGTAATATACTTAATTTCTAATGGCCTTTATGTAACTACCCCAAATTGCGATCCTATAAGGTATTAACATATATATGTACCTATGTTTTAACTCAAAATCATATTCTTAATCGATCTGATCTAGCTACTTCCATCCGTTCGTTAGTTTGTCACTTGATAACGCAATAACTTAGAAACTTAAAATTTTGTACAAATGTATATTTTTATTGCACGTAGATCGAAATTAAAAATAAGCTAGATTGGCTCCTTGGAAATAGTACCTCCTGTACATGGTCCATCCACGGACTTTGAAAACATTCACCAAATAAAATAGCATTTATACAACTTTGCCAATGAACGAAATTAACTGTATTGCAGCTTGTTGTTATAAAACCTACCAAAGATAATATGAGAAAGGCTTGGTAATATAAACTACAAAACTAAGGTTTTTTCCGAGACCTTTCAAGGAAAAAATGTTGAAACTAGTTTGATAATAGTCTCATTTAGAATGCGAACTTTTCGATTGAAAGTTCAAACTTTCGATTGAACTTTTCGAAGTGTAGATTTTATTCGATTATTTACTCTGTTTCCGAGCCTATCGCACTAATTACAAATGGTAAATTATTGGATGTAATAATAGGTAATTGCAGTAAAAGTAAAAAACAGTTAAAAGTTGCTTATTCAACGATTTAAAAATTGGCATGCAAAGTAAATTCAAAAAATTATGGTTGAAAAAATTTATTGGAAACGTCAGTATTTTTATTTTGATTTGCCATACGTACTGAAGTCCCACAATCAACTGCCTTGTATTGTGGGACCTTGATATTGTAAGCAATGTTTTATTGAATTTTATAAGCAAAGATATATTGATATTTTTAAGAAATATAAGCTCAAATATCAATAATATCAAAAACCAATGATATTACACTTGTACAACAGTACATGTTTATGTTTGGACGCTCCTAAGCTTAAAATCATACAAAATTTCTTTATTTGCATAATTTGAAATCTAATTTTTAAATAATTTTTTCAATTAACATACAATAACTCGTATAGTCGCACGTATATCGTACGTTTTTCCTCAATTTATTTTCTATTACCAATAACCTGAAACCTGTTACTAACCACGGTATTGCTTACGAGATTTAATTACAATTTTAATTAGAACAAGAAAACAAAAGGATTTAAGAGGGTTTCTAAAAAAAATTGTGCAAAAAAAGTTGATTTGAATTAGTTTTAAAACTTCATCATTTCAATCCATTACAGCCTTAATGAAATAAATAATTACAATATTGTAAAAATTTTAAATGAACATTTCTTAAATTTCACATTATTTAATCTAAAATAAATTAATAAATAATAATATTATTATTATTATCAATTATATTTTAGTAATTTTAGAATTTTATTGTTCTATTTTCTTACAAATCCTGTAATTTAATATTCTATTTTATGTACCATAGAAAAACCACTTTATTTTAAAAAAAGGAATTTAGGTTTCGCTAAACAAAAATAAAGTTTCAATTATTGTTGTACAATAGTACACAATGGAGTTTTAAGGTAAATAAAAGAGTAAAATGAATATAAAACAGTATTCTATTTCTAACCATCTGTTATACTCGTACGTCCTTCGAATACACACATAATATAACAAACCAATAAACTACTCATATACGTTCATAAATTTAGTAAAATAGCGTACTAAACATCAATGTTCAAATATAGATAATCACAAGTTTAATGCAATTTTATTATAAAATAAATACATATGTATGTATGTATAAGCATGTACTCAAATATATTTATTTATATAATGTTATTATTTTTTTCCCCTAGTATAATATTTGACCATTTTCCGAAATCATATCTTCTAATTTTTATCTTATACTTTTTTTATATAAATATTAATATTAAAAGTAAATATTACTTATACATTATGTTTTATATATATATATATACATATATATATATATATATTTTGAGTATATTTTAAGTATATTTACTTTTATCTTTCATAACTATAAAATATTTACATGTAACATTTTATAATAATAACATTTTTTTCCAATTTAAATATAATGAAGTTATACACACACACATACACACATTACATCATTATATTTAAAATGTATGTATATGCAAACATAAGTATCTAAATTTAGACTTAATATCATTACATACATACAGATATAAATGTCCAAAAAAGGAAAAAACAACTATACATACCACCCAATTTCAATTCTGCCATTGCTTGACCACTAGCTTTTTGACTATTGACTAGGCACTGATAAACTCCTTTATCTCTTCTACCAACATTCTGTACCATCAATGATGTTTCCGAAAGCATTCGGATACTGTAATATCAAAAAAAAAAAAAACAAATTAAATGAAATATATTGTAATATAATACATAAAAATATGTATGTACATATGTATGTGCATACACACATGCATATGTACGTAATATCATCAAAATTTAATATAAATTATATACTTTTATACATAAGGGGGTATGCACGCATATTTGTGTTGATCAGTATTATGTGAACACAGAAGTAGCATATTCAAAAATGGATACGTAAGTAATAAGTATGAATACATATTTATATACATATATATACATGTATGTATATATGGAACACAATAGTTTTCTCTTAAATGTTTTTCATTTTTTGTTCGTTTTTGATTTTTTGTTTTAGTTAATATACAAGAGAAAACAATAAATTTGAATTAAGAACATTCTGTAGGACAATGTAATGAGAATTAGATACACAATAAACTGCTGGTCAAGCAATTTTAATACACACACATATACCAGTACATATATGTATGTATAATAGCACATTATTTTCATTATTATTATTATAGAACTAGTAGAGAATTTTCATTCATTTTGCGAAAACATTATTATATTATTATAAGCTGTATTGTTCTACAAGTACGTTTTACAGTGAACTCCAAATGTACAATATCATGTTAGTGTTATAAAACTAAGGCGACTCATATTGATTGCTCTGAAATGAATTTTCATTTCGGGTTACTGAAAATTGTTCGTTTTAAACATTATTTTCTAAAATTTTTTAACCATCTTTTAATATGTTCTTATATTGCATACCTATAGAATGAAAACTAAAATAACATAATACCTTTTAATCTATAAGACCATCAAAATTTTAAATTACATTTTTTGATAGGAACACATCATTATCCTTGTTTAGTTTTGATATAAATTTATTTTAAATCGGAAATAAACCTATGTACTTGTTATAAAGAAATGAATTATCGGAAATTGTAATATTTTTCACTTTCGTGTCACAATAAACAAGAAGTATATACAATATTGCAGCATTTAATCCTAAAGAATATAAAAGTTTTGTAAAGAAACGCACAAGGCAGGAGAGACAAATGGAGACAAAGCAGTACCTTTGCTGATTCATTAAAAATTACGTAACTTGAACTTTTTAAAGAAATTGCAATAATAATTACAAAGTAGCAGTTTACAAACGGAATCCTACCTAATAGTACGAAATTTAATTTAGTATGACAATGTTCCCCCAGAATGAAAATAAAAATTTTAACATTATTTAAATTTATTTTGACAATATAAAAATAAAATATTTTTTGAGTTTTTACTGCAGTAGGTCTACTAACTTAACATTATTATTTAAAGCAAACAAAAAATTCAAGCTTTTCGTACAAATCCACCATTAAATATAATATAAGAAATTCCCTAAGCTGTAAAATTTTTAGGGTCCAATGCAGAATCCAATATCGTCTTAATAAATTTCTAAAAAGTTTTATCAGAAAAATTTGCTCAATTCTAGCTGAATTTTTAATCTTTATTATTAGCTTTTCAGTAAGAGCATATAATCAGATTTACCCGAGACCCAGACAACAATTTGCAAAAATTGTTGTGCGACAGCTGGCCATTTTCTTAAAAGCCACCATTTGAAAAGTCCTGATATGATTTCATAAACATATAAATGAATTTATCTTTTACATGAGATCACTTTTAGCTAACTTGACATTATAAAAAATTCAAACTTCATCAAAAATAAGAAAAAAAAAGTTGAAAGAATTATAAAAAAAAAAAAGAAACGACAAGAACTTAAAAATCTTATTTAAATTTTTCATTAAACCATACAAGGCTTTGTCTTTTTTTTTGTTTTGTATCGTAGCTATTCTTATTTTATAAAATCCTTTTAGTTTTTTGGTAAGTTTATCTGGTATACGTGTACATTTATCGAAATAGGACCCAAAATAAGAGAAAAATTTTATTATTTTCATTTTTGCCTTTATTTTTGAAAATAATAAAAATTAAAAATCTGTCATAGGTTGTACTAGGGTTTCATTTTAATCCAATTTAATAAGAACATACACACATGTATACATACATAATTATTTTTGAATGAATACGCATATACACATAGCAACAGTCCTAGCATGATATACACGATTTAAACGTGAAAATTTGGAACAAAAATTATTTCTCTATATATACTTATACTCCAATTCTTTTATATTTATGTAGATAGTTTATTAACATTATATCAAGGACTACATTTTATTATGCGGGAAATAAGGATTTTGGAAAATGAGGAAAAAAATAACCTATCATAACGGTATATTATTTTCACTTTAATATTTTGTACGTATATGTACGTAAAGTACGTATACCAAGGCTTACAAGCAAGTACACATATAAGATTCACATTTCAAATTTTACTATTCAACATTTTTTATCCTTAAAATGGATCAAATCAAGCTTATAAAATTGCATTAATAGCAAAATTTTTTGAAATTTTTATTAAATATAGTTGTATATGAAAACTTTATGTTATAACTATATATCCATATAGTTTCTTTATATGTAACTTTAATTTTATACAAAAGCTAAAATGAAATTATTTTTTGTCCATCATGCGTAATAATTCAATCTTGTTAAGATAACAAATTGTTTTTAATTATAATCAGAAGACCGTAAATTTTGTAAAATCTAAAGAAATTTTAAGTCTAAAATTTTAAATCTATTTATAATAAAATTGTACTATTACTATACATGTATAACAAAAATTTATTTTATACACGCATGTGTGTGTATACACATTATGCGTGTATGGATTTAGATTATTTTAGAATAAAAAAATTTCAACTTTATAATTTTGAAAAGTAATGTGTGTTGTGTGTATGTACCTAACTAGTATAACTTGAATAATTCTCATAATTAGTATACACATATACTATTTGCTGCATGTTGCAGATTTGCAGATTTGCATGCATATTTGCAGATTTTCGACATTTGTAACCCTGATTAGTTCGCAAAAAAAAAAACTAATTTATTGTATTATCTATATTAGAATTACGATTTTAAAATTTTTAAAATTTACGGTCGCCAAATGTAAAACAATGTATAGATGTATTAGCGTATCTGATACGTTTCTGTACTAAAAGTTCATGAATTTTCTAGCTATAAAAGTAATGGACAATTTTAAATATTTCTTATTTTTCTCATAGCAACTGATTATATGCAACTATGCGTTAATCCGTCCGATTCGCATACCTGGTAATTTAAGGGTTAAAGTAAATGCATATACTGTTGTGTAAGTTCTGAATAAAACACACAAAATAAATTTAGTGTTATTACACTTGTTCCATTATTTTATTGTGTCAAATACTGACAAGGTAGAAAGTTTGGTTATTAACCTTGAAACGCAATTTTCGAAGATAAAAAGTGACATCTCACTGACAATCTCTCTGACATGAAATCTTTTATTCTTAAAAAAGGTTTTATAACAAAGATTTCCTTACAAATTCTAATTCGGTCACTTCCAACAAAAATTTTCGACAATTTTGAAGCCGAGAGTAATTCAAACCAAAAACTTAATTTTTGCCGTAAATTCCAATTTGACCATTGATTAAGACCCGTAACACAATTAATAAAAATTTATTGGCACAATAGAACATTAAAATTCTAAAATTCTAAAAATTTACCGAAAATGCAATAATTTCATTTTACTACTTAAAATTCAAAAGAAATATAAATAATTTTTTTACCGGGGAAATTAGGGGAAATCTTTTAAAGTTTGATAAATTTTCCATTATACAATAAAGCCCCGCAACGTATGCAAATTTTTATAACTTTTACTAAGCACTTTTTCTTGTCATTCACATCGATATGTACCTACTATATAAAATTTAAAAACAATATCTAAAATAAGACTCTAGATAAAACTAAATAAAACATGATTGCCCCTAAAATTATGCTATCTATATTTATATTTATTTTTATAACCTGCACTTCGTGAAGGGTATATTCACTTTGGTATGAAGTTTGTAACCACTTGAAGGAGTAGCCTCGGATATGAACATGTACATATTTTCTTGCTCAGCGTAAATTTCTGCGTTGATTTCGATATGCCCGTCCGTTCGTCCCTCCGATCGCACGATAACTCAAAAACGAATAAAGCAAATTCAACCAAACTTTCACAAGTTGCTTCTTTTGTGCCAACGACGGCTGCTAATGTAATTGGACCAATTCGGACAACGGGTTCGGGTAGCTGCCATACAACTCAAAGAGTTTTTTTTAATATTTCAAAAACTAAAAAAGGTATTAATATCATTTTTTGTAAAGGTAAGTCCAATTATGATCTACATATACTCTGCAAATTTTAATGGAACGTCGTATGTGCACTTACAGGTTAGACATAATATCCGTGAAGCTTCTGTTGAGTGGTTTGATAGATCCAAGTAATTGCCACTTAGCAATCAAAGTTATTTCTAAATATTTCAAAAACAAATTTTTAAATTCAGATTCCCAAAGTGCAGGGTATTATTTACGTTTATACCGACTGAAACGTTTTTACTTGTTTTAATTACATTTTGATACAGGCATGTAGATCCAGAATAAAAAATATAGTATTTTCAAAATATCAAGTATATTTATACATAAATCATTTTAGATATTAATGTGGAGTTATATACTACTATACAAATATATGTATAACAGTATATATGTAAATATGTATATGCAATAAATATCCATTTATAAAATGAACTTTCCAATATTGTGCTAACCACAAAATTGCTTTAATTATATTAAAATATAAATTAATCTATACATATATTGTGTATATATTTATATGATTAAGAGAGTGTATGTAAACGCAATATATATGTTATATAAGCATGTACACAAATACTGAACTCAAAACCAAATAATTAGTTAATTACATAATGTGTAAGTATTATTATATCACATGTACATATATACCTATGTATACATAGATTTTATAGGCTAGTGAATTATTAACAAAAAAAAAAGGATTTGCTTTTGTAAAATTTAAAATTTTTTAAA